ATTGTTTTTTATTTTTTTACTACAATTTCCTTTTTTATTTATTATGACAAGAGCAAAATAAAAATCAGAAAACCCTCTAGTTATCACTTGTATTATTTGTTATATTTAGGTTCCTTATATTTTTTTTTCAGTAGACAGTTTTTATTGAATATCTCGCACTGAAGAATTTTACACATGGGAGGTCTTAAAGTCGCAACGACGATAAGTGAGTTTGAGTTTTGAGTTTTTTGAGTTTCAACATCAAGATTGTATTGTAACTAACATGAAACTAAAGAAAAAGAAAAGACGTTTTAAAATAAAATACTGGATCCATTTATTTAAATCGGATCGAGCGCACAACGCGGACTAAAATTGCGATTTATTCTCGTCCCAGTATTTCGTCCCACATAACAAAAAAACCTTTGGTCACATCAGTTATAAATTCTGTTTGTCCCAGAATCCTAACAACTTAAAAGTACAGTCAACGAAAATAAAAAATTGAAATATTCTATTTTGTGTACAAAACACGTTTCGTCTAAAAACCTTTATTTGGGGTATACAAAATATATGAGTTCTATTTTTTTGGATCCCGCATACTTTTGTCCTGTCCGGTCTCTCGTTGCCCTTGGTTGATCGGGGGACGTTTTGTATGCGTTACTTTAAATTCATTCGTGTGCGTTACTCGATGCAGTTGTAAACGATAGGACAAGACAAAGGTCTACGCAGCAGAATCAGAAATCACTTATTCAGTCTAGGCTGTTACAAGCACTTGTGAAGGTCAAGAAGCTACGCAACCGGTTCGCAAACTACGGCGGGAGACCTTGTACTAAGAAGAACCGGCAAGAAACTCTGTTTTTTTCTCCCTGTATATACAAAGTCGTCAAGTTGAAAAATGACTTTAGAGATACTTCTGAAATATCCTTTCATTACATCATTTAAAATATAAAAATGTATATAGTTACAATGAATTTTACAGTTAACTTTATATATAGTATATAAGAAGCGGCGTTACAGCCTATAATTATTATAAAAAACTGACATTTTGCGAATAAAAAAAGACCATTTTTTGGGGATGTATCGCTGAGTATCAAATGCGATTCTCATTAGTAGACCGACGCGGGCAAGTAAGGATAAAACAAACTACCTATAGACAATTTGTTTTGAAAAAGTTGAGCAGTCAAATATGTACTGATCACATTTCGTTTCTTAGGCTTTCACGCACATCATCATTCATCATCATCATCAACTCATTAAATAAGACTGTCGGGCCTGGAATGCGTCGTTGGAATTCTTGAAAAGGATGCGAAACTTCAAAAATAAATAAATTCAGTGCTACATGCACCTGTTCAAACTGTTTTATGTAATCACATTTCGGCCTCGCAAACTATTCTAATTCGACATAGGACAGTGCAGTATAAGGATGTCAAAAGCATAAAAAAGGATTGAAGACACGACCTTCAGTAAATAAAAAAAAAAATTACAGGCGTAACATATGTACTTGCTCTCATAAAAAACAACCGAAGTACAATCATTTCCACTACTTTCATTTTACTACTTTGTGGATTAAAATTAAAATTTCTTTTCTTATCTCTTGTTAACATGAAAATGTCAAATATCAGCTTTCGAGGTCTAAGTGATTTAGCTGGGCGTTGTTAAGTTAGAATTAAACCCATTTCGCGTCATAAAGGGTTTACTTAATTCAGAAAATGATAAAACGTGTGTTACCTCATTAACTTTCAAGAGTAGGGTACTTTTACGGAGTTACGAATGGTGGTTTCCCCCAACTGTAATTAACTTTAAATCTTATTTCTTACTTTTTAGTTCGGTTTTGGCTTGCAGTCTTATATTTTTTATTGTATTTTAAGTTTATAAATTACAGCCTGTTGTCAGACATCTCTACCAACGTAAGGAATAAAGCAAATACCTAAGAATTTGCACTTTTTAATTACAGTATCCTAAAACTCGTGAATTTGTATGGTTGTATTTGGCAGACAAATAAATACACAATAATGTTTGGTATAGAATAACACCTATTGTAAAAAAGAACCTATATCTTCGTAGTTTGTTGAAATATTCACACCAATTTCTTATCTACAATAAATTATGAGTGTTATTACTCGTAAATAATATACAATGACGCAGTAATTAAAATCACATGCGCTGAGACATCGTAATTTGAGGAAAATAACATAATAATAAAAAACACATCGGAGTATCAATTTTATCCCTGTGTCTAATCGCTGACCTCTTATTTCAACATCTCTTTAATAGGTTTGGGAAGAGTTCTCATTATACCCGGGCCAAGGGCTTGCTTTAGAGAGCAGGGAGGAGGCCCACTTACCTTCATCTCGCTTCCCCGATGGTTGAAGGATGCGTAAGGCATTTCCCAGACAAAAAAAGGGATAAGGTTTGTATAAAATAAAATTTTCAAAAAGTAACTGAAAAAAAAATAATGCAATACCAGGCATATTATCATATGGTAATTCGTGAAAATGCGAAAAAGTACCAATTTGATTTCGTTTCGTCGCTTGCGTCAAAATTGAAACGGAACACCTAACTTTCATTTGGTTGAACTAAGCCAAACTGAGTTCGAAGAGTATTTTTAATTTTTATTTTATTAAGAGAACCAACAGCGTATACATCAACAAATACCAGATAGTATTTTACAGGTAAGTATGGCCAATTACAGGTTTCCCTTAATTTAAAAATAGTAAGTGTACATCGGACATGACAACGAATAAATTAAGTAACAGCCATGAGAAAATAAAAATAAAAATACAATATACAAAGATGAACAAACAAGCAACTCCAATGAGTTTTTAAATGTAGAAAGACATTATTAATACATATACACACTCACATACCTATACATACAATACACATTCACATAATTATACACAGACACAGATACACACACACTTTCACTCCAAAAAAAAAACAATACCTTCACATTTCTACACTAACGCACTCACTGATCAGACTCCTTTTAGTGTTCCATTTTTTTTTTGCTATTTGAAAGACGTCGATGCTATTAAAATATTGGTTATAAGTTTGAGCCAGTCGCAGCAGAACTGAGTTCTGTAGATAGTTCGCGCGGCACGGTGGAACCTGAAAAACGGTTGTATTGCGGGTTCGGTATTTAGGAATACGATAATTTATTTTAGCTATCAGATGTGGACAATCAATTTTACTATTAACTATGTCATGCAATAGACCCATATCCAATACAATACAATACGCCTCTGTTCTAATGTAAGAAATCTTTGATGAGAAAGTATGATTAGGTAATGCAATTAACACTGAAGCAGATGCAGCTAATGGTGGTGGATTGACCATTCTCCCACCGACGCAAGCACAGTGGTAGTCTGCATCATTATGAATATAAGCTAGACGCAATGACATAAATGTTCGTCGTTACGGTGGGTGCGCCCGATCTATTAATTACTTTGCGGCTTATTATTCTAAGATGGAATTAGTAGAACACTGAAGTCTTTAATTAAGTTTGTAGTCTCCTGAAGTTTTTAATGTCATTTAATTTGACTGTTCATGAGAAATCTGACATTGGGGTTGCAGTTGCTTCTTCTGGAGTAACGGCCATATTCTTACAAAAAATATTGTATAAAGATAGTTTAAGGTATTTCGGGGGCGGAATGATTATACTGTCTAAATATTTCCGTCAAACAGTGACAGTTATTCTCAGATTGACTACTGCCAATGGATAAGGGCTTGCCTCTTTTTAGTCAATTTTTAGCGCCATGTAATGAATTTTCAACTGGCAGTAAATATGTGTATGAGAAAATTCGACACGGCCGTCATGGTCGCGGTAGCATAATGGTCAGTGCATATGCTCGGATAACAAAGGGTGCGCGTTCGAGTCCGGTCTGATGCCTGGACCGCGTGGATTTTTTTCTAGTGAAATTTTCTTTAAGTAGTAAAACATATTTGTTCCCATTTCAAAAATGTACCTAGGAGGAACGTATATTTTTTTTTATTTGGTAATTCGGAGCAACGTCAGCCGGTTTATCAGTATTCAAAATACAGTTGAAGCAACATGAAGTTCGCCAGTGTATTTTTACTTGCTTGCGTAATCGCGACGGTGTCCGCAATGTATGAAGATGAGCCATGGGAATAAAATTTAGACGACACTCCCGCTCTATTTGAAGCATTTGTTAAAAATTACTATAAAGTATACAAAGACGAGGAAGACAAGAGAATCCACTATGAAGCATTTGATAATGAACTCAATCGGATAAATGAATTGAACAAGAAGTATACAGAAACAACTTTCGTTTTATTAATGCATGCTGATTTGACTCCCGAAGAAAAGAAAAAAATAGTTCTCGCGCAGCTTTATTAAGAGTAAAAGTAATAAGCCAACCGTATAGCAGAAATGCGGGTTCGGAGCCCGTCTGAAACCCAGACTCAGTGGATTTTTGTAGTAAAATTGTTTTTAGATTTAAACGTCTAGCAGTTAAATGCACAAAAAAAGTAATGAGTATTTGTCGTTATTATTGTATGAGTGTAGTTCGATTTTATTTTATTTTTATTAAAAACAAAGTCAACGTTTGCAGAGAAAATAGTGAAAAATGTATGATTATCGGTTCAATTATATCTAATCAGTAATCATCATTGATAATTATTTATGTATATCAAATAACCACAACACGTATCAATTCTCATTATTCATAGTATTTACTTTAAACCCATTGAAGATACATTATATTTTATTTACTAAAAATGTAGCTCATGCCTAGTGCTACGCAATTAAGATATCATACTAATGTAGTATTCCTTTTCTTTTCAGTTTTTTGTTTTGTTTCAGAGCGTGCACGCTTCCCCGATATTCTTTTACACACTTCCGCCCCATTTCACGAAATCACTCCCACAAATTGCAAGAATGCGCGAGGAAAGATACATCATAAACCTACACATTAACTATACAGAAGTGACTAATGGAAAAAGGCATAAAATTCTTAGTCACGTGAGCTGATGAATCAGTACCTATTATATACACTGTTGGAGCAAAATGTTGTTCAGTGTGTCGTTACTCGCTGGCATAGTCACAATGGCGTCCACTTTGATAGACAATGAGCGACGGGAATATAATTTAGAAGAAGCTCCTGCAATATTTGAAGAATTCGTAAAAAAGTACTGCAAAGTATACAAAGACGAGGGAGACAGGACAATCCACTACGAAGCATTCGTCAATAATCTCAAACAGATAAACGAATTGAATAAAATCTATACAGACACCACTTATGTAATTTTTATGGATTCTGATATGACTCCTGAAGAAAAAAAGAGTCAAGTTCCATGTCAACTTCATTAAGAATGTAAGTGATTCTAATTTCACATGCACTTTTTCTTCTGTGACAGCCGTCGTACGACGACCACTTCTTTGTTCATCCCCCAAAGTAAGACGACCGCGTTTGAACTCGCTACACCAGCGGTAGATAGTTGCTTTCGAAGGTCCTTCATCGTTCCAAATAATAATTAAAATCGTAAAAAATCATAGCACGAAAATGTTCTCGTTGCAGATCCATTTTTTAACGGGCAAGAAAAAAATAATTGGCTCTCGAAAAAATGCGGAGTGAAATTTGAAAATCGAACAGTGGTATTTTTTCTGAGTGGCCTGGTAATATGTGTATATATTTTTTGTAATAATATCTCTTAGGAGTCAGAATTCTCTTTGTATCTGGCTGCTTTTGGTATCATTTAAAAAGTTTAAGTTATAACTCACAACAAGGTGATGCTGTGTGTATGGTGGGATTGGCAGGGTATTATTCATTATGAGCTGTTACTGCCAGGCAGGACCATCGATTCTGAACTTTACTGCCAATAACTGATGATATTAAAGCAAGAAGTTGAGAGAGAGTGGACGGAATTAATCAACAGAAGGAGTGTGGTTTTTCATCTTGATAACGCTAGACCTCATACATATTTAGCTACTCAGCAAAAATTAAGAGACTTTGACTGGGGTTTGTTAATGCATCCGCCGTATAGTCTTGACCTTGCTCCTTCAAATTTCCATCTGTTTCGGTCTCTTCAGATTTTTTACGGCAGTGTCAGATTAACATCACGAGAGGCCTGCCAAAACTACTTGTCGTGGTTTTTTGATCAGACGCATCAAAATCAAAATTTCTATTGCAACGAGATTATGTCCCTACCTACAAGATGGCAAAAAGTTAACAAACAAAATGGCACCTACATACTTTACTTAAATGTAAATAAACTTGATTAAAAAATGTTTTGAATTTTTATTTAAAATACGATGAAACTTTTTCCCCTACCTAATATTATGCAATGGATAATGATGTTAACTAATATTTTTCTCTTCTTTTCAGATTTTCATCATCATTAGTCGTATTTCTGATATTGCTTATTGCACAATGAATATAAGCATAAAAACAACAAAGTTTGCTCAAATTGTACCCGAAAATTATATAATGTCTTAATAGTTCTACGTCCTGGATTAACTGAGGCATAAGGACAAGCCACAACATGAACATGGAAGACTAATACTATTAGATTCTTTTATCAGCTATTCACAAGCATTTATTGCCCATTGACAGACCATAGTTGGTCGTCGAGGACTTAGGTTATTTTAGAGCACAGTAAATGTACCTGCAAGTAAAAAATATGAGAAAGAGGAATTGACTTACTGTTGTCGTTGCAGACAGCGGATAGGGAACGATGCACTTTTCTCCGTACATACCTATACACACAGAAAAAAGCAGTACTTATATATAAAATATATATATACTTGACTCCGCATAAATGAATTGATCACACCTGATCGAAGATAACTGGTGCAGCAGTTTTACCTAACACTCCAGCCATCCACACTTTGCTGATATTTGAGTTGCTTCTAAATGCCTGTTTTAAAGGAACTCTGATTGTGGGGTGGTACGAACGCGGGAACGGGAAAAGCATTCCTGTTGCGGAAATTTGTACTAGGAACTGACTCACCAAATAAATTTCTGAAAGTTTGTTATTTTTACTCTTTTCGTTATAATTCTGAGCGTCTATCGTTGTTGTTACAATTCAAAGAGACGTACATCATGACAGTGTGACCACGGATCCTAATTCCTGAATTAAGGGTCCTTTCAAATATTATATAAACGTAACTTAAAACGTTTCTGAAATGTTTTATTTTTAAAAGTGAAGAGCTTTACCTTTGAATAATCTTTCTATACCTAACAAAAATAGTTGAATACCTACTAGACCGGGCGCTAGAGGTAAGTGAGTATGCATAATGTGAGTACCGAATTTTGCCAACGGATTTAAGTGAAGAATAGGTCAAAGAATAATAATGTGAATCTTGCCGGTCGATTTTTTGGTCCATATTTATTTTACCCCCTTTTCTCTTATTCGTAAAGGGAATGTATTGAGTACATGATATAAAATCATTTTAATGATTATTTTTGTAATAATTTATAGTTTTTTGTAATGGTAAAAGTCAGGATGGATTCTTAAATAATAAAAAAAATCATAGTTATTTTTTTTTTATTAATAAAAAAAAATAAAGTTGCCTGCTCATGAAAAACCAGCGAATCCAAGCATAAATGTATTTTAAGTAGGTACAAAATTATTCATTTTTATTTTTACATTTGTTATTGATGCAGTTACATAATTAAATATAAAACAATTTTGATTTTTGGCAATTACAAGACATTGTGCGACAATCCGCAGTACATTTACATGGTGAAATTAATGACTCTGATAAAGACGGCTTCGTCATTTGTCGTGGACGTAAGTCATCGTTGAGCTTTTCGTAACCAAATGAACAATAATCAATGGGTGGTAATTGTGTTTAATGAACATTTTTCTATATAAATGTTTGTACAGTGTGCCAAGCCAGTAGCCGCTGGTGCTGTGGCCACAGAAGCGGAACTGGCAGCTCCGGATACTGGAGGCAGGTACTCCCCTGACTTCATGTCTACAACCCAGGAGAGCCCCTGGTCTTTGAAGACGAACCGTCAACGCCGACGCTCACTTCCACCAGCCGCCTCCTGGAAACGATATCCGGGTACGTTAACAAGATCCTGGACAATGTCGACTGCAAGCGCAGTAAGAACAAATCTGTCACCAAGGCCAACCGAGAGAACACCTTGAACTACTGTAACAGCATACTCGGGCTCATCAAGGACGCCAAAGGTTACAACACAACCCAGCCTGGCGGTAGCTCCCGCACTTCTTCCATCGGTCGAGCCTACCATTGCCGCCGACCTACAGCTGATCAGGAAAGAGCTAAGGGAAATCAAGCGCAGATTAAGACCAGCACCCCTAGCCGGACTCCGAACACGATGCCCCTCACTATCGCGCAAATGGCGGCTGGACCATCGAGGGCTGCCCCGTCGACCGATCTCCCTATCATGTCGAGTAACCTCCCAGCGAGCAACAGAACCGCCGCTCCGAAACCAGCCCTGATCATGTCGTGCAAAGGAGAGGGAAACCCAAGGGAAAAGGCGGTGAGGGCCCTGAAGAAGTTGGTGGAGTACAAGGATGCCAAATATACAGCGGCTAAGATTACCAAACTATCCAACGATAAGACCCGTGTGGAATTTGACGGTGTGGATCACTTCAACGACGCCCTAAGGAGAATCAACGGCGCACCGGAGGCCATGGGAGTCTCTGCGGAACCAAAAAGAAAGATAAGCCCGATGGTCATGGTGAAAGGCATCTCCAAAGATGTGCGCAGGGAAGAGCTCTTGGGAAACATCATCGAGCAAAATGAGCACCTGCAAGAGCTCTCCGCGGACACTGACATAAAATTGCGGTTCATTAGGAACAATACAACAAACAGGAAGCCAAGTAGTCAATACACTTGTAACAGGCACTAAGAATTTACGAAAATACTATTTTTTATATGTTTAAATAAAAATACGACTTAACAAAGCAACGTCTTTACGTGAATAGATGTAGAAACACACTAAACGCGTACGCGCGCTATGCTTAATGTATGGGCGAAGAGGGGATGTGAAGAGAGCGGGAAGGGACCATTACATCTGGCGGCAAGATGTGTTTTATTATTATTTAGGGTCTCAGGTATAAGAATCCGGTCATAGTTGCCGTCACTCGGATTTTGCATACTCAACTACCTCTAGCGCCTGGACTATACCTAACAATTGAAATAACTGCTTGTCTTTTGCACATTGTGACAAGTTGTCAAGTTCAGACATGACTATGGGAATTATATTGTGACGAGGCGACTGTTTAAGGAGTATTCATTTATTGGCTAAGCGAGTTTCATCCTATGCTGCCACTATATCTGGAGATTTCCTGATAGATGGACTTGTGTCTACAGTAAGCGTATATTTTTTTTTTAATGTCATTGTTTCTAAAGTTAACTTCGTAAAGTGTAGTCTAAATTGATTACGAACTTGGTGTCTTAGGGTGCTTGTTTTAATGAGACAATTTCTATATATATGGCTAAGCTTGTTCACTAGTACTGTTTGTACTATTGTACCGACCCCAACCGCGTCTCGTCAGAGAGGAGGCGAGCAATGTTTTTCTACACAGATATTCTCGACTGATTCATTCTTGATTTTTATCATCAAAAGATTGATTTTCATACATAAAATATCATTTTACTCATTCTATGACATGATGTCTTCCTCCTTCCGATAACTTGTGCTTCAATAAAACTAGAAGCCCTCAAAAATGCCAAACATAAACAAATTTTATCACCACTAAAGACGTCTAGGGTGGAGATTTAATAAGCATTAACAAAAAAAGCAAAACATAGAGCTATACATAATATAACTACTTATTATTCTTTGTTTGCAATTTCTTTCACGTATTTTCGAGGAGGAAAGCGTCGAGAGCCAAACCTCGAGTTTTGCCATTTTTAAACAATTTTCAGCGTTAACTACTGTTGTCCCTATCGCACGGTATTTGTCTATACATGATACCATTAGTTTTTTCCAATACCTATTTCTCAAATGACTCTCAGCTCGCGTCCGCTCTTAACAAACCTCCATAGTGTTCTATTCATATTGTCGGTTATGAAATCCATAATGTCGGTTTAAAACCGTACCTAGTCCCGGGTAAAAATCGTCTCGATAACAAGCGCCCTTACGGTTTAGTTTGTTTTTTACGTCTGGTATTTTTAGGTTTCTGTGCCCAGAGTATGAAACCAGAACCCTGTGAACTTAGATTAAAACAAAAAGGGGAGATACAGCACTCGCGGCTCAAAAGTGACCCACTTAAATTGTGGTGCATGACCATAATTCGCATTAGTCACAATTGGACATTCAAACACGCTGCATGTGCAAACAATATTGCGTATATTCTGTGTTATAAAGATAAAACAATGTCTTCGAGGCTTTTAGAAAGAACACAAATTGTTCAAAATCAATTAAAAATGCCTCGGCAAAACTTTTCATTCGTAAAACTGTAACAACATTTTTTTCTCAAAAATCACTGTTTGTCGTGACTTGTATTTACGTAATCGTCATATTGTTATCAAGAAAATTACAACAACACGACAACCTCCTTGGCCGAGTGGTTTGTACGCCGGGTTTCATGGTATCGCCGACTCGAGAGGTCCCGGGTTCGAATCCCGGTGGGGGCAGATGTTTGTGTGACGAATACGTGCATTTGTACTCCAGTCATGGATGTTTAATATGTATTTCTATATATGAATATACTTTTATATGTACAGTATATGTATTCTATCCTTTATCCTAGTATCCCATAACACAAGCCTTATAGTGCTTACTTTGGGGCTAGGCTAATTGGTGTGTGTGTTGGAAATATTTATTATTTATTTATTATAATACAGCTTAGCCTTATGGACTCGGAAGCGTACTAGCCGTTTCGCTCGCACTACGTTGAAGCGTATAGTTCTGTCTCGCTCTCTCGATTGAATGTTTATATACAGACGTGTGCACGTGAGAGTTGCTTATGATATTTTACCGTACCGTATTCCCTTTTTGTTTTAATCTAAGCCTGTGAACTATAATTAATCCACCGCTATAAGTCCATCCATTTCTGAGCGAGCTGTATAAAATGTTTTAGTCATGCAATTAAATTTGTCTTTGTTAATCGATTGATACCAAATAGATTGTCTATTTTACATGAACTTAACAGAACAATTATTATTCCAATTATTGTTCTCGAATTTAGTATTAAATCGTGTACGGAACTCATCTTGTATGACTCAGAATTGCACTTGACCGTTTTAAAGTTTTAAGTTAATATCGTTAATATTGATTTCATACAAACCTTAAATAATATTAGACTATTGCCTTGGTCTCAGATATCTAACCTGACTAAAATAACAAGTATGTATATTTAATAGTGACTTTAATGAGATGTAATTTGATTATTGGGATTATTGTTACCTTGAAAATTGCTTCATTAAAAAAAACAATACATACTCGTACATTAGGTCTATTGACACTCACCATTATGACTCACCGGTGATAATAGCATTACAGCTTTCAACGAAGATTTAAGTTAGTACACACTAATTTATATCAAGTATATAAGGAACATGATATTAAATATTTTTGGAAATTATGTATGCGCATTATTTATAAAATGTTTAACAAATAATAATGATCATTCTGTGAATTGACACGAATAAAAATGAACTTTATTTTTTCTGTCTAATAAATATTAATCACTGGCACGGTTTACAAGCCTTAATGTAACTTTAAACGTGAATTTAATTTATAATAAATTAATTTTATGTTCCTTGCAAAATAAAAAAGTAGGTACCAACTATACAAGTCGAAGTTGAAATTACAAATTAACTTCGCTCCCTCCTTCCAATATTATGGACTCGGTCAATTTTATAATAATTTATAATAAGACGGGAACGACGGACGGTGCTCAAATGATAAATTTAAAAATTATTAAATTACTAAGCGGCCTATTATAAACTAATGAGAAATTACCTAGTGTTAATCTTTCAAGGCCGGAAACAACGTTCGGTGTTCAGATTTTTCACGGGTTTCTAGGCGATAAAAAATCGTTCGTATAATTACATACAAATACAACGAAAGAAATGATTTGATGCAATATTTGAAGTTATGCGAGTTTGGGCAATCCAAATGGAACTCTATTGCCATAAGTTGCGTGTCCATCTGTCCGTTGGTTAAAACTAAAGTTTTAAAATATAAACAGTACTTATAACCGCTACGTTGACCCAAAGTCATACAAATTGTCAAAAGATAATTGAAAATGTTATTAAAAATAATTATATAAATAAAAAGGGAGCCGCAAAAATGTTTTAGCCTACTCCATCCAGTGGAAATTTAGAACTCGTTTAGTATATAAAGACCATATTATTTTTTGTTTTAAAAATATTAATAAAAAGAAACAAATGAATGGAAGACGCCATAATAACCATATTTACGAAATTTTGTTCCAATTTTTTTTTCAACCCTGTATTTCAACCTTTAAACGCTCATTAACAGATATTATTACACAGTTGTACTATGGGATTTTTCTTTTCGTACCTTAGTCATGATGCCGGTAAGAATACGCGTGAACAAACAGTAAGATCTAATTCATTTCCCTCACAGACAAATTGGTCACGGTCGGTTTAATACAAATATTACTCCCGTACTCATATCTCAAACTCCATTGTTCGGGCCAGGTGTGTCAACAATATCTTTATTAGACTACCTACCCTAGTAGGTATTTTGCTTCTTGAACTGAAATATTGTTTTTTTTCTTTTTCTTTTGGTAATTTATCAATTTTCTGAATATATTATGATGTCCAGTACTTACTATAACTTTTTTAAGAAGACTGAATTTTTTCTCTATATATCAATTTAATTTTGCAGAAGCTTATTCGTTCATGGCTTTAAGAAATAAATTTTTCCTTGAAAAAAAAATAGTGTGCTTATGACCACACGACTGAAGTGAAACTTCTTTAGCTCCATCTGTATGTCTATCTGTACACACAAACATATAAATAAATAAATATATAAACATATAATAAACATCAGGGCCGTGGTGGCATAATTGGTCAGTGCATTCGCCCGGATTGCGAAGGGTGCGGGTTCGAGTCCCGTCCGCTGCCTGGTCCGCGTGGATTTTTTTCTAGTAATACTTTTACAATATTAGATCGCAAATCTATCAATTCTATACATGAATCTCCTGTTTTTCTAAAATGTATCCTGTTCTTCTATTTCTCTAAAAGAGTCTACGTAACTGTTTTTGCTGCAAACAAAAACGAGCTTTGGAGTCGGGAAATACGCTGTACACTGTTTTTATTGCAGCTCCTTCCATACATCTACTGTTTTTCCTGTAACAACTCCCGATTTTTTTAAATTGGATCTGGCAACATTGATTCTATACAAAAATCAACAGCCGTACCACAAAAACCTACCCGTGAAAACGAGTTCATAAAATGAAAAACTTGTTCAAACACTGTTTGAAATAGTATCTAGGTATCTAACATGGCTCAATTACACTTGGTCGTTAGCCTATATTCCGATGAACCAAGGACGTTACTCGAATTCGTGCACCCGATCCAATATTTACACTGGAATACGGTGTCGGTAACCAAAACGAAAACTACCGAAATACAATCCTACTGATTCTATTCATTAACACATAGTCGTTTACCCGAAGTCCATCGGCACTTGCTTTGCTTGCTACGAATAAGTTTACGACAATCAGTAAAGTTTAACGAATAGAAAGAATGCCACCACCCACAATGCCTAACATTATGTTTTGTTTACAATTTCATTAAAAATTTAATAATAATAATAGCGCGACTCGGTGGCGCTGCGGTTATTAATTACCAATTCCTAACTTAATAGAAATTGGGGATTTTGATATTGAGGAACGTGGCGGTTTGTTCCAGTGCACTGCAGTGCTATACTATTCTGTAAAAAAAGCATTTTTTACCACAGAATCCGCGGTATGATTTGAAAATTCGTATTCTTATCTCAAATCACATCATAAAAATTCGGATTTCGCGATAAAAAGTGAGTTTATTCTACAGAATAGCACAGCTGATCATAATTCACAATACAAGTGCATAAACTGTCACAACCTTGATTATTATGAATAATGGCATTAAAAACAATTATCACGTGAGATCAAGACATGTGTGTTAGCTAACCTCGGCATTATGACTTATTAATAGTCAATAGGACTTTACCGATAGGATTATGAAATGGCAAGGTCAGCGGTAATCCAAGCCCGTCCGTGTGACAATGACCAATACCTACGGGTCAATCGATTTTGCAATTTTCATTTATTACGTTAGTCATAGAGACAATGAAGTATAAAAAAACCGGCCAAGTGCAAGTCGAACTCGCGCACGACAACAAACCGCGAAAGAAAGAATTATTTGTTTGTTTTCGACACAACATACAAAGTACCTTAATTTTCCGGCGTTTTCAGTATTTGTTGTTTAGATACAGCATATGGAGCCATATACAGAAAATTTACATTCCTGACTAGTTTAGTTTTTGTGATAGGCCCTGTAACAAAAATGGTTTAAAAATAACAACTTTGACGGCCTCCCATTTCCTTAATAATCAAAATAAAAAAAAATACGAGCCCTAAAGAATAATGATGTGTCACATGTTGGGATAAAGACGAAAAAAAACTTCACCTTTTCATGTATAAAAAATTAATTAACTAATTTTTTAACTAAATATTCGATTTTGGGCAAGCATTTTACAAAAAATATCAAAAGGACATTGACCAAATAGTCATTTTTACTAATAGTTATAGTAATTAGTTTTTACAACTTGTAATTGATACAAATGAAGGCCGAGTAAAATAAAAATAATAATAAAACACTGCATTGACATTCATCCTAACTTGTCCTATTTGGTAAACAATCTTGGCACTTCTATTTATTGAAAATACAGCATTAAAAATCAACTGATAACTAGATTCAATAGGTTTCAGTCTATAATAACGATTTATTGTAATAGATTGTTGACTTTGTTATTATTTTATTTTTAAATTGGTGATTTTGTTAAAATGTTGAGCCAAGATTGTTTACCAAATAGGACATGTTAGAATGAACAGACTTGAGTGTTGCCATTTATTTTGTATATTATTCAACCTGTATACGTCAACTGAATCGATATATTAGTTCGCATCTTCTTTAGTACAAGGTATTCATCACGAGGAAGGTTTAATTTCGGTGGTTTACTTCGTCTTAACACTGATGAAATTCTTGACGCAGCGCCTCCATGTCTTCCTTACTCATGTTGTTTTACACTGTGCAATCCTCCACGTTACAGATAATGATGAACATGCATTAGGGGGACCAAACCATTACATTAGATTTGATAAACAACAGATCCTTGCAACTGAGCAGCGGTTCATTCCTAGAATGATACGCGAGGCTATTGAGATTAAAAAATATCCAAATTCCAATAGGGAAGAAGATTGGTGTGTACCACCAGCTTGGGAACCCATTATACAAGAGATAAAATCCTAACCCCGAGAACACACTGCAAGACCAACAGATAGTATTAGTTCTTTTTGTTTGCATAATTTAACATAAGAAGAAGATAGAAAGCCTCTCTGAGTTTGCTTCGCCGGTTCTTCGCAGAAAGGTCTCCCAATTTTGGAACCGGTGGTAGTTTACGGTTATTACAAAAAATATTTTTTAATAAAGTTCTTTATTAACTAAATTTACTTATAAATTCATACATAGACAATAAAGTTTTAAAAATCTTCCAATGAAATATCCGAACGTTCAATAAAAGTCTTTCGAGGGTAGCTCAACAAATTAAATAAAAAATCATTATTCTGACGATGCAGACCTGAAAAGGCTGCGAAACATCAATAAATAAATAAAGTTCGTGCATTAACCCGTTAAAATTAGTTTTATTTAATAACCAATAAATGTTCAGAGCAAAATACCTTTTTCCTCGACTTTCTTTTTTCGTGATTCTTACATATATGCTTAATAAAATACGCAGAATATAATGCTATATCATTTATTGAAAGACGCAACAATTTAATTTCAAATAAAACGATGTATGGGATTTGACCGATGTACTTTCAGTTCTGTTACTGATTCCGTTTACGATCTAGAGACCCGTGACATATCGACAGACAGACAGACAGAGTGACAGCAATACAGGTACAATAATATACAGGTTTCATTTTTATCCTCAGGGTACGGAACCCTTTAAATGGCCAAGCACGAGGTTAGCCTCGCTCTATTAGGGTAGACTAAAATCATTTGTGTTTGTTTTCATCACAACCTACAAAGTAAATTATAAATCGGCCTCGTTCATAATAAATTACATACATATTATTGGACATCATATAGGTACTAAAATTTCACATTCTTGACTAGTTTCCATTTTGAAATAGACCCCGTAACAAAAAGGCTCTAAAAATGAAAACTTTAACGGTCACTCATTTCTTTGTTATTGAAAAAAACAAAAAAAAAACCGACCAAGTGCGAGTCTGACTCGCGCACCGAGGGTTCCGTACAAACTCAATAATACCTCTACGCGTTCATGAGAATGAGGTAGTAACTTTAAAATTTTCAAAAATATTTTCCGCAATTTTTCCTTTATCTGTACTATAAGACGTTACTTCGTACCAAATTTCAAGATTCTAAGTTCACGGGAAGTACCCTGTGGATTTTGTATCCCGTGTGAGTTTCGAAAAATTTGCGGAAATTTGCGGCATAAACGGCTGTATCTTTTGATTGCTTTGGCTTAGAAGTTTGATTTTTTTACAGCTGCAAGGGACAGTAGACAATGAGTTTTTGTTATAAATTTCAGTCTGCGGGGGTAAAAATAAATAAAAAAAAACATATTTCGTCTCCTTTTTCATGTATGGGACCCCCATGAAAAATGATATAATTGAATTTTAAACAAATATTCAGCTTGCTTGCCCAAAAGCATTCTACATAAAATATTCCGCGACATCCGGACAGATAGACAGACGACAGAGTGACATCAAAAGGGCTCCGTTTTACCCTTTTGTTACGAAACCCTAAAGACTGGCCAAATGCGAGTCGGACTCGCACACGGATGCTACACAATTGTAAAGTAAAACATCAAAATGTTAATAAGTGAAGAAGCATCAGAACAGGATGGACCCCATTTCAAGAGAAAGAGAACACATTAAAAAAAGGAAAATATAATTTATGGGCGAGTTCGGGAAAGGTGTCCTTTTAGGGCGCGGGGCACCATTTATCGTGATATTGGAAAACTCTTATGGCAAAAAATTCAAAAGCGAAATTTTAGGTAGGTATTATTATATCTTTAACTATTCTGCCAAAAACTAAAGTTGAATAAAAAAGTCGTAGATCTTTTAATTGCCTAAAATTTTGCTTTTGATTGTTTTTGATAGAAGCTGTAGTTTTTCCGAAAATTGCAATAATCCGTTTTGCGTAATGTATTTTTTTCACACCATCAGAAAGTAGAGGTTCCAAAGAAAAAAAAGTGCACAATCTTTTTTTAAAAAATGATTTTTAAATAAGGTGACTTTTTCGATATTAGAATAATAAAAGCCCAAGTTATTTTAGGTTATGTGAAAAAAGGTCTTCTAGTTTCCATAATATCACAATAAACCTAAAACTTTAAAAGGTCACCATTCCTCAAATTCGACCCGAAATTCACCGTAAATTATTTTTCCTCCTTTAATGTTTTTTTGAAATGGGTTTCATCTTGTTCTGATTTTTATTGTTCCCATAAATTATCGGTCCTGGCCTAACATCATCATAAAAAGAATCATCCAAGAATGGGGATCACCTTTTTTCTAATTAGATTTTTTTTTATTTTTTTACAGTGGAAATAGAAGTACCTAAGTAGATTATATTCTACAGAAAATTTCAACTGTCTACCTGCAAAGTTCCTTGAGAAAGAGGCCAATAAAAGACGGAAGGATAGACGACCAGTCGCACCTTATTCATAGAGTTCCGTTGTCACCCTTATCGTTTTCTTGTCGCTCTTGATGATGTCATTCTCGCGATATCCCATAAGTACATCCTAACCACCTAAAAATCGATTCTGACATAGTTTTGATGTAATCCTTTTTTTAATAACATTTAAAAAATTAAATGCGAATGCCAAAGACACAAAGATGAACGAAAATATTTGTAGGGATGTAATAAAAGTTTCCCTTTAAAAATAACCGAGTCTTTTACACATTTTACACTTATACTTACACTTTTAAGGCTTTGAAACAGCGGAAATGCAGCTACCGATGCATTTGAAGATCGGTGCCGGGGCGGCAGCCGCCGGCGTATTTGGTGTCTTATTCGGATGGGTTATGTTTCCGGCTATTCTGAAGAGTCAAATCAAGAAGGTATAAATAGCTTAACTACATAACCACATTTCATATTTTTTTCGCTGCTAAGGGCGTCCGCTACCTTAAGCGGGAGCATGGGGCCGACGTCCGTCGCGAAGATCCGCTCTGTCGCGGGATCCGCTACGTACACCCGACTCGTAGCGCGCCGGTACAAATTAGGTCGCGCGGTCGAACAGCCGACAATAGATATTTTTCTTGATAATACTACCTACCCAAATGATGATGAAGACAAATGCACAGAGGGCAGCTAATCGGGCGTGCCCCTTCGCCCAAGGAGTGGGCTCCGTCACACGCGCCGCTTGCGAAGGGAGACCCGCCTTAAGCAGCGCTGCTCTATGAAATGACAGAAAATAGCACACTGAGCGAATGTAATACAAATTAGGTCGCGCGGTCGAACAGCCGACAATAGATATTTTTCTTGATAATACTACCTACCCAAATGATGATGAAGACAAATGCACAGAGGGCAGCTAATCGGGCGTGCCCCTTCGCCCAAGGAGTGGGCTCCGTCACACGCGCCGCTTGCGAAGGGAGACCCGCCTTAAGCAGCGCTGCTCTATGAAATGACAGAAAATAGCACACTGAGCGAATGTCCGCTCCGTGCTCCCGATTAAAGTGGCGCCCACTTGTATTCGCTTGCAATATAAGCGACTGATCAAACATAAACGAAAAACAAGGGCTAGCCGTGACCGCATGCCGCCTCTGTCTGTGAGACACTTAAGGCACCGGACGCTCTTAGGACTTGGGCAAGTTTCCCGGTTTTCCCCTACGCCCTACCGACTAGTGAGACGCCAATCACAACAAAACAGTCTCGCACAATGAACGAATTGACGTTTTGTTTGCGCATTTAAATATAATTTTGAAAGAGGGTTCAAATCTCCCGCCTGGGCAAGTCTCCCGGTTATCACCTAAATTATTGGAATAAGGTTTAAATTGAATTGTTTTTGTTTACAAAATAATTTAGTACCTCATAATAAAAATAGGTATCCAGTGGAGATTTTGTTCCCCAAATTCTTTGATTAAAGAACGACTGTAAGTGGATGATACATGAGTACTGACTATCGAATAATTCGACATAACTTTCAAAATACGGAGAAATTCGAGATAATACATTTTTGATGACCCTTCCTATTACCGAATATTACGAAAGTTGGTAATCTTCTACTATTGGTAACGAAATTCGCTAACCACAACACCCTAAAACTCGTCAATTACTCCATAATTCCCTTATACTAATCTTCGTTTTTCACGAAGTTTCCAGAAAACAATTAACCTCCCTCATCAACTCTCTATTTCCTCTTACATCAGGATCAACAATATATGAATATTGTCAAACAGTTAAATATATTACACTAGCGACGCACCCCAGCCTTGTTAAGGGGGAAACTATTGTAACGCGATAAAATAGCAATTATGTCCTTCATGCTTTTCCTACAATTGCGTGACGAAGCTTTGGGTAGCTTAATTTGGTACTAAATACGCTAAAATCAGCGTTCGAAATTTCGACTGCTTGTTTTTAGTTTAACCACTAGACGATAGCTTGACAGGCGTTTATTGACGCGCATTAAAGAGGTTGTGAAGTAGATGTAGGACATTGGGGAAAAATAGATGGACGCTGCACCTTTTGCTGTTGAGTTTTGAGTTTAGAGTTTTGTTTCAAACATTCTGTTTGTTATAGTAAATTGTCTTCTACTTAAAACAGAGCGATCACAAATCACACAAACTTGTCCACGCCTCGCAGAAAACATGATTCCAATTCATCTATTCTAATTCACAAAACTGATAATCGTGTTCCAATGTCCAAAGTATGTTAGTTAAAAATCAATCAAGTGACAGGGAGGGCACAATCACAACAAAGTAAGACAAAGTACTGCATATGAGTCGACTAGTTGCAACTGCAAGTCCTTTAACCTCCGTACCTAGAGGTACGGGGTACGGTGTAGACCCCGTAAACCGTTTGAGATCTCTCAGTAAGTGCAGGCGCAGGATGTTCGGCATGCTTTGTCGTATATCTGGTTATATTGTACGATATGGTACAATATTATTGTTACTAATAATATAAGATGATGGTACTATTAAATGAATTTATTTAGCTACTTAAATATATATGTACTACATTTTCTTACTACTTACTATCTACTTAAATAAACATGTTTCATAACTTTAGATTACCAGGATTTTTTTACGGTGTCATAGTGAAATAGGCTAACTTTTCATAGATCTTTCGATTCATACTAATTACAATGTTGGCGGTGCTGTGTGTTTTTTGCCCATTGTCTTTTATCTATGCAGCTAAAGGAGCTTAGTTCCGATGGAACTAATTCAAATTATAGACTAAAATTTTAGCACATTTAGATACCAAAGTTACGTTGCGCTGGTATGGGAGAAGCATCTGGAAGTTAGTGTAGTGTTCTATTAGTGAGAGAATTTATAAAGTCGGATCAATTAATTTTTGAGTTTATTCGTTACAAACATAAAATTACAAATTTTCCCCGCCAGCTGGAGTCAGTTGTCTCAGGGAAACCAGTTATTCCAAGCTATTCTAAATTGGAATCATTACTCCTGTCAAGCTCACTGTCGAAACTCCATAATTATATAATCATGAACGCACCCCTTTCTAATATACTAATAGACGTGACGTTTGACAGGAAATGGCGTTGTCAAAGAAGACGGACACACGCGCAATGTGGGAGAGGATCCCATTCGCGATGAACTTCAAGGTGTACATGTTCAACTACACCAATCCGGAAGAAGTACAGAATGGCGGTATTCCTATAGTCAAAGAAATCGGACCATACCATTTCGAGTAAGTAAGGTTCAGCCAGACAAGAAGCTGGGCGGGACGGCAGTGTGACGTTGTTCTGCAATCAGCATAGAGCAACACGGAATGGATAATACTGCCATTTGGGGGGGGGGAATATGTACACAAATGCAGTTTTACGTAAATGCGTATTAAAAAAAGTCATTACGAAACTCACGCATAAACAATGACGCGTCATACCACCAAATCCTGAACACATGTTGTATCGTTTGCACAGAACACAGAAAGAGATTAGAAGGGTGATCATAAACCGTTTGTACGGGATTCGACTTCGTCGGCTCGTCTCCACTACAATTCCTATACTATAGATAATAGCCAATCAAACGCCGCGACATCAAATAATCGAACCCATCAGCGCTTACACCCGAGAGCAACGACGCAATCAGAACCTAATTTTGGTCAAGTTATGAGCATTTTCTCACACATAACTGTGGCCCCCGCCCACAATACCATTCTAACCGTTTTCTGTGTTCTGTGATCGCTTGTATGCCCAATGCGATAGTGGGGAAAGCATGTATGCCTACTCCCCTCCTGGCTCCGTCGGAGGTGTCGCTATCATATAGATATGGTTAAGCTTTTTATCAATATAAAACTCCATTGTAGTTTGACAATCGATGTCGATAAATCGCTTTATCACATAGCGTTTTGATGGTGATGATGATACGATACAAAAGCAATTGTAATGTATTAGTTACTAGCTGTGCCCAGCGGTGTTACCCGCGGTCTATGTGTTAATCCAGGGTGTCAGCTAACTTCATACCAAATTTTATTGAAATCGCTCCAGCTCAGTCGTGAAGAAGTAACAAACATACACACTCATACACTCACAAACTTTCGGCTTTATATTAGTGTGATTATGAAATACGTTACACAGTGTTATATTGCATTCAGCAGGCGTCGCGCCCGTCGTGAATACAACAAGAGCGCTACGGGACCGAACATAAACACGATTTGGTTTCATGTCAGCATGTCTTTATTTATGCGTCATGTTCTATGACAATTCACTTAAATGGTCATACAGGCCGCGGTTCCAACACCGACGCTATGCCGTCCTATCCCGCCCGCTTTCTGACTTCATCCTTGGGGCGTGCAGTATTATGTTATTTCATAACACAGCGAAGGCCCTTCAGATTTGCTATACTTCTTATAGGATAACAATATCGCGTACAAAATATTTAAATAGAATACATTTATACCACACTATACTATACTGTGTGGGCTTGCTATAGGCGCTAAACTGTAGCTCAATAGTACTGAACGCATCTTTAGGGACTTGATAGCTATCATATTAAGCAGGGCTGCAAATAGGCTTATGGCGCTCTATGAAACAAAATACAGTATAGGGTGCTTATTAACGACCGGTTTTCCAAGGCAATGTTTCTGCCTGGGCTGGTGCCGCCAAAGCTTGTGCATGAGCACGATTTGTTCGTTCGTACCAACACCAAACCTCCGCTAATGCCGATGTCGTTAACAAATCTCCATAGTGTCCCATACATGACTGATGACCGGAAAATGACACAGTTTAAAACTGTACCTAGGCCCAGGTAGAAACAGGACAGAAATCGTATCTTTAATAAGCGCCCTAAATTTTGTGCGCCCGGAATCATATTCTCAAGGGTCATCAATCATCATAGATAAGGCTCGAAGCCACTGCTTTATCAAGTCTTTACGTATTTCACTGCTATTAATACACTAAGCTGCTAAAAATAACTATCATCGATGACATGGATAGAAAAATAATGTAACTATTAAAAGTGGAGTAACAAACCCAAATAATATATTAATCAATAAGATCTAAATCTAGATTCTAATGTACAAATAATTTTACGGATGAAATGTTCCCTTGAGAGTTAACGAAGTAGAGTTTTCGCTAAAATCAGAGCATTCATCCAGGGAATTAAGGTGGGGGCCACCTTACAAAAGACAGAAGAGAAATAGAAAAATAAGAATTCGTTTTAGAGCTATTGTGTTTCTAATGAGTCCGGTTACCTAGCTCTGAAGGGTAGCGGATTAGATATAGGCCTGGAAATTTTCAAATGAGCCACTAATGCTTTTTTGTATCGTATATATTTTGTTAAACCATATCAGTTTAATAAATAAGGATATAAGACATATACTAAATTACGGCTACTTACATATATAAGAGTACCTTTACAGTATATATAAACAACTGTGACTCTATCTTCTAACCCAGTTAATTTAGATTTTAGGCCGACATCCATATAGTTATGATTTTATTTATTTTTAAGCATTTAACTGCTAGATATTTAAATCTAAAGAAAAGTTTACTAGAAAAAAATCCACGCGGACCAGGCAGCGGACGGGACTCGAACCCGCATCCTTCGCTATCCGGGCGAATGCACTGACCACTATGCTACCACGGCCCTAATGGCCCTATTGATGGCGCTGCCTTGCAGCTTAAGGCTAGGAAAATTTCGACGCGGCTAATAGGGCCGTGGTAGCATAGTGGTCAGTGCATTCGCCCGGATAGCGAAGGATGCGGGTTCGAGTCCCGTCCGCTGCCTGGTTCGCGTGGAATTTTTTCTAGTAAACTTTTCTTTAGATCCATATAGTTGTCAGATTTTACCCTACTACGATTAGCGTTGTTCAAAGCCGCTATAAAGCTAATAGCGTGCTGCAAACTATATGCTTTTATTAAATACGGCTATAGCTGAATTAATCAAGATAAGAATTAGAATCCAGTTATCAAAAACCTTTGGACTTTGAGGAAGTTTGTTACCGTTGTGTTGCACCAACCAGGATGCAAAAATAAGCATCACTTATGTTATTGGATAACGTTGATGCAACATGTTCTGGCAGATGCAATAATAGCAGCGCACCATGATGATGACTTTATACGAAAATATAAAAAAGAACTCTAACTGATTTAATCTTCATCTATGTGACATGAACTTATGACAGAATGTAGGGAAAAACCGGGAGAGTCGCCCAGGAGGGAGAGTTCAACTACTTTTTAGAATTTAATTTAAATTTAGTGCAAACTAAACGTCAATTCGTTCATTGGTCACATGCGAGACTGTTTTGTTGTGATTGGCGTCTCGCGTGAGACATTGGTCGTTAGAACGAACTGACGTTTTGTCTGCGCTAAACGTAAATACAACTTTGAAAGATGGTTCAATTCTCCCACCTGGGCAAGTCTCCTGGTATTCCCCAAACAATATTAATTCTTTTTCTGTTTAGCGAATGGAAAGAAAAGGTGGAGCTCGAAGACAGTGAAGAAAACGACACTATAACGTATAAGAAAAAAGACACGTTCATCTTTAGACCAGACCTATCTGGTCCCGGGCTCACTGGTGAAGAAATCATCACCATGCCTCATGTTGTTATGATAGTATGTATCACAAAACCTTTTTTTTTGTCTGGGAAATGCTCTAGGCATCCTTCAACCAACGGGGGAGCGAGAAGAAGGTACGTGGGTCTCCTCCCTTCTCATTACATCCAGCCCCAAGGGCTGGTAATGTAAGTATATTTATATAGAAATACATATTTAACATCCATGACTGGAGTTAAAATGCTCGTATTCTTCACACAAACAATTTTTTTCTTCACCACCGGGGGAGCGAGAAGAAGGTATGTGGGACTCCTCCCTGCTCATTTCAGCCAGCCCTTAGGCCGGGTGAAATGAGCAGGGCCCTACCTAACGCCCTGAACAGGGCCACTAAAAACCAGACAATACTCCTGCACCGGTCACCCGACGTATATTCTGAGGATCGCAGTCCCCCCAAAGCACGCCGGGAGTGCGGGTGTGGTCGGAGCAACCGTTACCGACTGTCCACGCAATGTATCACAAAACCTAATCGTGTAAAGCTGAAAGAGATTTGGTCAAGGGATTGCCTACTTTGGGAAGTGTAACATCCACCTTACAGAAGACTAAAGTAAAATAACACCACCACGTGGTGGTGTTGGGGCATATATCACGTTACTGTAATGATGTAAACTGAATGTAAAATTTGTCATTTGATACACATACGTTAAAATAAAAATGTACAAAATTCAATAAATAACGCTGCTAAATCGTTTTGCGAAACAAATATTATATTCATTTGCTACTTAACCAGTAAGTACTACAAATCATTCACAACGAGTTTGCAATGACAAAATTTACATTAGTTATATATTTAAGCATTTAACTGCTAGATGTTTAAATCTGTAGAAAATTTTACTAGAATACATTCCACACGGACCAGGCAGCAGACAAGAGGAAAATTACATTATATTAGCCCCAAAGTAAGCACTGTAAGGCTTGTGTTACGAGTCGGCGACACCATGAAACGCGGCGTACAAACCACTCGGTCACGGAGGTCGTCAATATTATTTACATGGTATAGAGGTAGGTCATCGTTTATCATTGTTAGGTTTAATTCCAAAACAGTTACTGCTACTTGATTAGCTGGTTACCAGTTATCAGATGGTTAGCGGCTTCGGAAGGCACGTTAAACCGTTGGTCCCAGTTGCATCCGTAGTCGTAATAGTCCATCAATCCGCTGGGCTCATGGCCCATTCTCTTTAAGCCATCCATAGGAAAGACGTGTGCAGCAGCAGTGGTTAAATTAAAAGGCTGGTGATAATCATGATAACTGCTACCTTTTTTATTTACTGTGTTTTTAGTCGGTGGCAACGATTGTGAGCAAAGAAAAGCCAAAGCTTACGAAGACCGTCGGGCAAGCGTTCAATAAAATCTTCGAGATACAAAAAGACGCCTTTTTGAGAGTCAAAGTTCTGGATATACTATTCAGAGGCTTTGTAGTGAACTGTGACCAAAATGATTTCGGGCCGAAGGCTGTATGCACTGCTCTTAAAGTAGAAGCTACAAACAACATTATTATAGGACCGAACAAACAATATTATTTCTCAATTTTTGGACCGGTAAGACGTATACAATTTTATTTTTTGGGTCACGTAATGCGTGAACTTGCTTGAAGACTGCTACCACGTGAGTAGTTTTTTTTTTATAATATAGACACATACAGAGACAAAACTTTATTTGGTAGGGTTGACACATTAGGTTAAATTAGAAAAAACATCAGACATGGACATCAGGGCAGGGCGGTAGCATAATGGTCAGTGAATTCATTCGCCCGGATAGCGAAAGGTGCGGGTTCGAAACCCGTCTGATGCCTAGTCTAATAAAACAATAATCGCTTGTTTTTTTGAAGTTTATATTATACATTATATTCGTTTATCCGTAATACGTTGCAAGAACTTTTAACTGAATGTGGATTAATAGGTACTTTACTTCAGAAAAAAACGATTAATTGGAGTGTGAGGCGGGCGTAATATTGGGCTTGAAATTTGTCAACAAATGTTACGTATTCCTTGCGAATGACGAAGTTGCGGTCTATTTTTGTTGTATTAGGTAAATTAATTAATTGTATAACATCTGAATGTTTATCAATGTGTTTGACATTAAGTTGTCTTCGTCATGCTCCGTTTATACCAATAACTAGCGGCCCGCCCTCGCTTCGCTTCGGTGTAGAGCTGAAGTGTAGACTACAGTTTTTGTTCGCAGGCTTGTATTATACACAATGACATTCATCTATGATTCTTCTTATACCTGCATGCAAAGTCTCAGCCCGATCGGTTTAAAATTGACAAAGTTTCATACAAACTTTCATTCCCTATTTTATCCCCTTGGGGGTAGAATTGATCAAAATCCTTTCTTAGCGAATGCCTACGTCATAACATGTACCTGCATGCCAAATTTCGGCCCGATCCGTCCAGTGGTTTGGGTTGTGCGTTGATCAGTCACCTTTGAGTTTTATATATATAGATAAGTGCTCTTATTTCAACCTGTAATGTAAAGAGTATTGTGGTAGATAAATTAATAAAATTGATATGCAAGCATAATTAGACCTATCAATATTGACTAAGTACTTATGTTAAGTAATTGATTAATATACTTAAGTAGATACTGAATGTGCAATTGACTAACTTTTGCCTCCAAATATACTCAAACAGATGCTTCGTTAAGAAACTTTTCAATTTCAAATGCTGTGAAAATCTTAAATTTCTATAGGTTCGGTTAGGTTGATAACCAGATGAGGCTCTTTTTAAAAATGCCAGATATGTATGTCTTTTTACCCGACTACGCAATGCAAAAGCGCGAAGCGCGACGCGCAAAAAGGGTATATTTTCATCTTTATTGTTGCTTTTAGCATTGAATACGTACTCCATAAAGTGCTTGATTTCTTGGTAGCGTTCAATTCAATAAAATATTCCAGCTAAACGTTTTCTGAGAAAGTTTTGGCTCCTTTAGTTAGCCGCCACGTGTTAAACATATTGTACTCTTTCAAAAACTTAATGATTATTGAGGGAGAAAGCTCATTTGCGCATTATTTAACAGTTTCTGTCAATTCTGTTGGTGTCAAATAAACTTCTTCGTTGCTAGAATCACTCATTTTAGGTTATTCACTTGTTTTTAATTTTCTTTTGTTTAACCTAAGGTTTTAACAATGTGTCGTGCAAAAAAAATGGCGCGCGCAAAGCAAATTAAAAAAAAGGCACACAAAGAAGGTTCCGAGTCTGAGTTTTTAATAATTAAAAAAGGTTGTATGATAAATTCGGCACAATGAATATAGAAGTAAACAGGTTAATGCTGTTTTGAATTCTCAAACTTAGTGCACACTATGTTCTATATTCATTTTACTTTATCCTTTAGCGGATATAAAAGTCTTTTGCATTCAGATGTGAAAGAGCAAAAAATCTCTATCCGAGATGAGGGGATAAAAAAGTATTTTTTGATCTATTGTCACGTAATTACCTGTATACGTTACCTGCTTATAAACATGTTGTCTAAGCAGTCGAAGCAGTCAAAGAAGTTGTGGCCACGTCAAGGGCAGAGGTCGACGACTGCCTCCAAAAGGTGGCGACCAGACCTCTCTTTCCCAGTGGGCACTTTGAGCAAGTGCCCGGGGCCCCGCAATCGATAGGGGCCTCGCTCAGATCAAATACAAAGTCCCTTAATTTTGTGTAAGTTAATGTCAGATCACCAAACGATAACCAATATTTATTGCCAAAAAACTTATATACGAGTAATTCGATGAAATCGAACCTAAATTACTGACTACAATACCAGCTATTCTACTCTCGCCCAAAAATTAAATAATTTAAATATACATATAATGGTTTACTAAGCATATACACATTTTAAAGAAACATCATCAGTAGTGCACCCTTTTCACACTTTGATGTGGAGTATGACTTGCTCCATTTCAAGTCATTATCCACATCAAAGTCATAGGGGACCCATTATCCTAATATGCCCAGGGCCTCCAATAGAAGACGGCCCTGGTGGCGACGGCTGCAGTTACGATGCAGTCGGTTGCAAGTCGCTCGTATAGATAAAGTCTAACACGTGCCCTATGGAGCTCTAAAACCTTATTCAACAACAGAAACAGAACTCCACCCAAATGTAGTTTTAAATGACTGTGATCTCTTGTAAGGTGGTAGTGACTCCTTCTTTAAGGGACGCTCTAACACGAGCGAAAAATTCACTATGCCCTACTAGTGTCCTTAGATTAAAATAAAAAGGGAAGATACGGCATTCGCGGCTCAAAAGTGATCCGCTTAAATTGTGGTCCACGACCATAATTCGCTTTAGTCACAATTTGACATTCAAACACGCTGCATGTAAACTCAATATAACAATATTGCGTATATTCTGTGTTATGAAAATATAACAATGCCTTCCATGCTTTTATAAAGAACACAAATAGTTCAAAATCAAATGCCCCTGCACCACTTTTCGTTCGTGAAACTGTGAAAACATTTTTTTCTCAAAAATCACGGGTTGTCGTGAATATTATTTACGTAATCGCCATTTTGTAAGCAATAAAAGAACAACAATACGCTGCGTTGAAGCGTATAGTTCTGTCTCGCTCGCTCGATTGATGTCTATATACAGACGTGTGCGTGGCGAGAGTTGCTTATGTAGTTGAGTCCGATCATATTTTATTTGATGCTAGTATGAGCGTACCGTATCTACCCTTTTTGTTTTAATCTAAGCTAGTGTTGCCCGGTTCACTCGTTTCTATGGAGCCGCGACTATTAATGTATTGTGTACTTACATTGTTTGTACTTTCCAGCGAAACGGTACTATAGACCCACAAACAGTGACGGTAAAGAGAGGCATCAAAAACATCATGGACGTAGGTCAAGTGGTGGCTCTCGGCGGACACCCACAAATAGGTTTATGGAGAGGCAAGTGTGACCAGTTCCAGGGCACAGACTGGACCGTATTCCCGCCCTTTTTGACGGAAAAAGACCCACTCGAAGTGTATTTTGGTGACCTGTGCAGGTAAGTTGAAAAGTGTGGGGCATTAATCAATTTATCGAACAGTTTATGCGCTCTAACCAGCTGCTGTCTTTATCACGAAAATAGTAAGTCCTTTACCTTAAAAGGTAGTTTAAAACTAGTTTTTTTTAAACATTAAGCTGGTAGATTATTAATCTGAAGAAAATTAAACTAGGAAAAATTCCACGCGGACCAGGCAGTTGACGGGACTCGAACCCGCACCCTCCGCTATCCGGGCGAATGCACTGACAAATTATACTACCGCAGCCCTAATGGCCTTGTCGAATTTCTTTTTGTACCTATTTCTTAGGCTGCAAACGAATCTTCACAGCTATTAACTATGAAGGAGAATTAGCAAATTGTAGTTATATTTTTTAAGCATTTAACTGCTAGATGTTTCAATGCCTCGTCCGCGTAGAATTTTTCTAGTAAATTTTTCTTTAGATTTCAACATCTAGCAGTTAAATAATTAATAAAAATATAACTATGATTGTTATTCTTTCTTTAAAATGTTTAATACTTGTAAAGGTATTCGTATGACATTGTAGGTCACCTACAATGGGAAGAGATGGCGCTGCTTTGCAGCCTAATAAGTACTAGAAGAAATGCGACACGGCCATTAGGGCCGCGGTAGTATAATTGGTCAGTGCATCCGCCCGGATAGCAGAGGGTGCTGGTTTGAGTCCCGTCAGCAGTCTGGTCCACGTGGATTTTTTTCTAGTAAAATTTACTTAGTTCAAAACTTAGTAAGTCCTATTTAATATTAGTTATTGGATATTTAACATCTTACCACCAAGCCACTGCCTCTTTCTTTTGTTAAAACAAAAACCTTACCAATGCCAATAATTACTAGCTTCTATTGCTACGCGAGATAAATAGCATTTGACTGAATTCTATTTTTTATGATTCCATAACGAGCAGAAACTTCAGGCCATGGTTCCAAAACAAGACCAATTACCATGGCATAAAGACGAACCGGTACGTTGTCAACATCGGCGACTTATCTAACGACCCCAACCTCCGGTGCCACTGCGAGACCGATGACACTTGCCCCCCTAAAGGCCTGATGTCCATGAAGAAATGCACGAATGCACCGACGTTCATATCCTTGCCACATTACTTGGATAGCGACCCTCAGCTCCTGACCACGGTCAAAGGGCTCAACCCTGATGTGAACAAACACGGCATCGAAATAGACTTTGAACCAGTAAGTATATTCTCTATACTGCTTAACCGAGGACCGAGAACTTCATCATCATCATCAGCCTATTAATATCCCCACTGCTGGGGCACAGGCCTTCCCTATGGATGGAATAGGGAGATTGGGCCATGACCCACCACGCGGGCCCAGTGCGGATTGGTGGGTGCTCACGGCTGCAGATGCAGCTGGGACCAACGGCTTAACGTGCCTTCCGAAGCACGGAGGAGCTAGAGATAGTAAATTTTTGATCACCCATCCAATGACCGATCACTGCGAAAGTTGCTTAACTTCAACGATCGCAGCCGAACGCGCTCCGAGACCGAGAACGGGGACGCTGAATATGGAACGGGGTGGCGCTGGTAATTTTGACAAGAATGTGCCTGCCGCCCGCACCTGCGTTCTCGTCCTCCTCTACACCCTGTACCCCGCAGGCGAGGACTCAATTAAGCGATCAACCTTATAGCCCACCTGCCCTCTAGCTTCACCTAGATAAAATAACTTTTTTTGAGAATCCCTCAAGGATCCCTATTTTCGGAGAGAAAGTATCCTATGTCTCAATGCGACCTGCATAAACTTATGCGTACCAAATTTCATCCTTATCTGTTCAATAGTTTTTGCGGGATTGAGCAGCAAACATACAAACTTTCACATTATCCCCCTTATTAAAAACGAAGAATAAGCTTGGATAAGTTACTCCATGTTTAATAATAAGGGGGTATGTGTTTCACACATGTAACTGCTTAATTATGATTTTTGTTTTAATGTAATAGAATTATTGACCTGGGGAATCCAATATGGGGGCTATTCATTTATTACGTATGGCGGTTTAGGGGGAGAGGGTGGTTGACCATGTCTTATTTTTCTTACAAGGGTTTGGGAGTAGTTCTTACGTAAGATCACAAAACAACTCAAAGCAAAGATTATACTTTGAAAAAGTAGTTTATTACTACCAAAATATTAAAAATTACTAGCATCTTTGTCGGTATAAATAAATATTCCCCAAAATTGGTCTTTGAAAATAAACATTAAAATAAATCTAGTATTTATTTATTCCTTAAGTTTCTTACATAAAAAATATGAAACAATGGGGTGGCTGTTGGACTATTCTCATTTTTTCTTATGTAAGGGAGTGAAAAAAATGGTTGCCTGTAAAGTCGGTTTTACGGGCGAAGATTTTACGTGACAACGTCTTTTTCTCGGTAGAATATTTATTGATATGAATATAATTAAATTGCACAATAGGAACAAGGAATTGAATGAAAATAAGAATTGCACAAATTTTAACTATAGAAATATATTTTGTTTACTAAAACATTGTACATGTAAACTTAAACTTAACACGAGAGACTCATCGTAACGTTACCGAGCGTTACACTTTTTCATAAGTGACTCCCAGCCGCAACCTAATTTAAGACGTTGTCACGTCAAAACTAGCGAAAATTGTCTTACGTAATAAATGAATGGCCCCATGACATAAACTTTTAGGTTGTAGTCAAATGGATAGATTAATATTGTTTAAACAGTGAATCAAACCTTGTGAAGTGGGTGGAATATGCCACGATGACATATTCCACCCACTTCACGAGGTTTTCCCTAGGGTCTACATTATATTAAGGCGTCCTTCAAAAAGAGCGTAAAAGATTTTTACGATAGGCTGAGTTAGGATTATCATCAGACGGGCCGGCTGCTTGTGTGTACAAAACAAGAAACGAGGGGTATAAAATGTTTTACTTTCAAGATTACTTTTGATGCTATGAGAAAGTGTTTGTAAAAATCGTAGAGTACTTTGAATAGTGTTCATCATATTATTCCTTATGGCGCAATTACATTTGGTAGTTAGCCCGTATTCGGGTGCACCAAAGATATTACACAAATTCGGGCAACCGAAGCAATTTACACTAGAATATGGGCTAGAAGACGGTGTTGGGAAAACAAAAAAGGAAATCTACTCGAATACGGGCGTACTTGACTGCGTTCATTTACACCATGTGGTTTACCCGAATTCCATTGGCACTCGTATTCGGGCTAACGACCAAGTGTAATGGCACCATTATATCAAAATATTTTAAAGTGTAACTTTTATTAGGTATCGACATTGCCACAATTTTTTCACTCATCTTTCGCAGGTCGCATTACATTTTTAATAGTTATTAAAAAAATCAGACCTTATCATTAAGCATCGATGGTTGAGTGGTAGAAAGCTCGCATGCTACGCGGACGTCCCGGTTTGGATTGCCAGACGAGGGACGACTTTTTTTTAACTATTTTAAAAGTTTCATTTGTAACGTGGTGTTTTGTTTGTATTTAGCTTTCAGGTACACCAATGGAGGCGAAATTGAGAGTGATGTTTAACATGGTGCTACATCAGGAAAGTCAAATGGAACTATTAAGGAATCTTCCGAACACCATGGCTCCCTTGTTCTGGATGGAGGAGGTAATCTGTTTAATGTTTAATTTTTCTTCTTATACAAGGCACTACAAATTATCCCAGCCCACCTTTTCAGCCAACCTTTTTTATAACTTCTTAATATAAACAGCCTGGCAGCCATTTGATGTATTTTTAAATATTTATATTTTTATACGTCAGTCTTTCTGTCTGTTTGACACACCCTTCTCTATTACTTAGTCGTGTCATATGGCTTGTGTGTTTGTTTATATCTCTCATATACAGGGTGTAAAAAACCTATGACAAAGATTAAAACTACGCATTCTATACACCCAAACAAGTAATATTACAAAATATTATACCTGGGAAACATTTGTATTTTTAAGTAAAAAAATAAAAAAAACTACTGTGGCGCTACGCAAGTAATGTGCCTGTGTCTATGTGTGTGCGCGTGTGTAAGTGCGTCAATAAAAAAGTTTCTAAATAACATTTTCGTAAAAATATTGAAAAAAAATGTGACTTTGGCCTTCAATATCTCCATAACCATAAACCCAGGTATGGTCCAGAAGAAAAAATGATCATGACGATAATTTTTTTCCTTCGGCTTCTTTTAAAGGTTTTTTTACACCCTGTATTATAATTATATCTTGTAGCTTATCCACTGTGTTTTTCTCTCCTAAGTTATAATACCACCTGATATTATGTCCGGTTGCGAAGCTTAGATGATGCGGCAGAAAGTGTGCCGCTTCAGCCATCCTCACTTAGCCGGCCTCAACCCAGTCCTAAGCCCCGCGGAGCCCTTGAACCTTACTCACCACCAGAAACACAACACCACCAAAACGTAGTGTTATTTTTTGTGGTCTTCTGTAAGATAGAGATTGCTTGCCTACAAGGGCGCTCCAATTCCAGCGCGAAATCCGCTGTGTCCTACCTTGCTTGAGCCCTTTCACATTTTTTTCCAAAAAAAAGCGTATTTATTGAGCGCCTTATTTACCCCCTTAGAAAAGATTTTGACTATTTCCAATAAAAGTAAACAGTAGAAGATACTATTTTCCTTTTTCTGTACTGATCGTTCTACTGCAGCTAGTTTACAGAAAAAAACGATAATATGCACAATTTCAAACGCCTGAATCTCTCAATAGTGTTCAATAAATTAGATCATATTAATTACTACGACATCAAAACTATGTTTTTGTTGTAACATAATGTATTAGAATTTTGATTTTCTATCTCATTAATTATCAAAAAAAAACATCTAACCTCCGTGAGTTTTCCCAAAAAATAATGCAGGTTTACTTGAATTTTGATATTGAATTAAATAGAATTACTATCAAAAACTTTCATAAAACTAATCTACCATCATTGCACTACTGAAATATGTATATTATATAAGACTCTAAACATCACCCGTAAAATGCAATATATACTAGTGCAAATCTACCTACGCGCCGATTAGTACGACAGCGGTGCAATTTTGTAAAAGGGCTCTTAAATACATTTGCATGATCTTAAATATTGTTTAATTTGATTGTCTTGACACTTCCCGTTATACAGGATAACGCCTTAATCACTTGTCAAATTAGTACGACAGCGGTACAATTTTGTAAAAGGGCTCTTAAATACATTTGCATGATCTTAAATATTGTTTAATTTGATTGTCTTGACACTTCCCGTTATACAGGATAACGCCTTAATCACTTGTCAAATATTGCATAAATATATCAACTATAGTAGGTATTAGTTAAAAAGTACAAATTGTTGAAAATTAGAAAATAAAAAAAGAGTTCCAGCAAAAAAGTTTTTCAATAAAAATACTCTTTAACTTATGGCATTGCGTAGGAGGACAGTATAACATTCTAAAATGTAGCAAAACACCATAAATATGGGTACGAACGATTGACGATAATAATCCTGGCCCTGAAAAGAAATACGAGGAAAAACTGTGAGGTATTCGCCATGAAGGGTGGGAATATTAACAGCAGGCTATGTTCAGCTTTATAAACCGTGAATTTTGAGTAAGAAACTTGAAAATCGTGTAAATAAACACTAGGTTTATGTGTACACCCCCATACAAAAATATTGATTTATATCGTTTACAAAATATCGTAAAATGACACAAATTCGTAAATAACATACCTGTTATAGAATTATTATCCATTTAAAGTACGCAGACCCTAAAAGTAATTCTTTTTTAAATCAATTTATAACGATTAAAATGGTTAAGGTTTTATTATTGCAGAAATAGCGAGTTAAAGTGGAGACATATTTCGAGAAAAAAATATAATAAATAATAATATATATTTCCGCTAAAAAAATGTCCTTTTCATTCAATATTTACATAAGAGAAAACGTTTGTACCTTGTTAAAATAAGAATCTGTCTCGTCCCTTACTAGAGGCACTGGCATCCCTTATTTCACCGTAATGACAGAATAATTACATCAATATTATACTCGTAGTTTAAGCGGTGATAATTTTTTAAATCTATTTAAGACAATTGAGATTTCTGAGTTAGGTTTTATCGAAATATTGATGTTTGGTAAATTAAAAATACCTAGTCAGGTCATAAGTATTGTCTCACAGTAAAAACTTTTCTTTTAGAATGCTGGCCACATAAAAGTTTATTGAAGTCTGATTTTCGAATTGTTCATGAAAATAAAAATGTAGACTTTTTACAATTTTACTCATTTTTAAATATGGAGTGGACGCTTAAAGAAGACCGTATTGCAGTTATTGCGTTGCATCGTTGCGGTTACGCGCCAATTAAATTTTTTGACATACTGAAAAATTTGAATATATCCAACAGATTTGTTTATCGTACCATCAAACGATACAATGAAGACTCTAGTGTAGATGACAGGTCAAGAAGTGGTCGCCCTCGGTCTGTTAGGACTCCAGCAGTGATAAAAGCTGTGAAGGCGCGAATTCAAAGAAATCCGAAACTGTTAGCCCTTCAGATGGGGTTAACAGAACCACAGTGAAAAGGGTGTTAAATGAAGACTTGAACTTTGGGCATATCGAAGAAAAACAGGACCTCGTTTGAATGCTCGTCTAATGGACCTGAGACTGAAGAGATGCCGCGCTTTGTTAAAGCGGTACGCGGGAAAAAAATATCGGCAAATTCTTTTTTCGGATGAAATTTTTTTTACCGTAGATAAGAAGAGAGCTACAACAAACAAAATGATAAGGTGTACGCACACAGTAGTGAAGAAGCGAGCAACCGTATTCCGCGTGTCCAACGAGGTCATTTTCCATCCTCGCTCATGAGCGAGGATGGAATGGTTGGGAGTTTCTTATTGGGGCTTGACAGAGGTACATTTTTGTAAGAAAGGTGTAAAAACGAATGCAGTTGTGTATCAAAATACAGTCCTGACGAACCTTGTGGAACCTGTTTCACATACCATGTTCAACAACAGGCACTGGGTATTCCAACAAGATTCGGCGCCAGCTCATAGAGTGAAGAGCACACAAGACTGGCTGGCGGCGCGTGAAATCGACTTCATCCGGCATGAAGACTGGCCCTCCTCCAGTCCAGATTACAAGATATGGCAACACTTGGAGGAAAAGGCGTGCTCAAAGCCTCATCCCAATTTGGAGTCACTCAAGACATCCTTGATTAAGACAGTCGCCGATATTGACATGTTACCTCGTTCGTGCTGCGATAGACGACTGGCCGCGCAGATTGAAGCCTGTATTCAAAATCACGGAGGTCATTTTGAATAAACTTTATTGTCATAAGGATCGATGTTTTGTTAAGTTCATTTTGGTATATAAATGGTTACATAATGAATAAACTTGTTTCAATTATTTTATATTAAACATGTGACAGAATTTATGACCTGACTAGGTATTGTCTAAGGTTCACTCCCAATATATAAAACATAATAAACAGGACTGGATACTGTTATAATAAAACAGGATGAGTAAGAGATACAGAACGGAGGCATTTTCTTATAGGATGACCGTAACTTTTATTCCTGAGAATTCAAATATCAAGACATAAGACAAAATTCAAATCACAAGAAGAAACCATCGCGAAGGAGCAAATCCATGAGCGAACCCATGGAGGGATTCACCTTCATATAGATATCATGACATCCTACTCCTGAAAATATTTATCTGACTACAACAATTATTCTCAAGCTAATGTTTTCCCAAAACTGTTTTATTATTAGGAAAATCACATACATTTTTGTTATAGGATACCGACAGGCACCAAAAACGCGTGGAAGACATATTGTTGAAGACATATTTTTCATTAATTTTTAATACCGTCACTTTACATGGTTATTTGTATTTGCTATTTGTTATTTTAACAGCAAGTTGTCCTTATCATACTCTATAAAAAATTAAAGGACTGACTCTTGTTATGTTCACAAATAATAAACACGAATAGCCATGTGAAGTGCTGGCACAAATATAATGTAGGTGTTGCCACAAAGAAAAATCAACAAACGATATCATGACTTAAAAATAGGTTTTTTATTTCTGTAACTGATTATTGCAATTAAGATCAAGATAGGATGCTACGTGAAACCTCATACATATGTTCCAAATTTTTCGTTGTACATGCTTACAAAATAAATAATCAATAAATATGTTTTATTTATTACTACCAACAGATATCACTATTTTTCTTCTAGGAAAAAGTTACTGGTTATGATTTTATTTATTTTTAAGCATTTAACTGCTAGATGTTTAAATCTAAAGAATTTTTTTCTAGTAAACTTTTCTTTAAAAGTTACTGGTATTATGATCTGTAAATTCCATATATCTCGGTTCAGATACATAGTACATTTCAATGACACTCAGTATGCCAATAATCTTTTCAGCGCAATCCGTTCAGTGGTTTGAGCTGTGCGTTTATAGATCAGTCAGTCGGTAACGGTTGCCTATGATATACTTATTGGGTTTTTTTTGGGGCTATGCAGTATTCTGGTAAACTGTTGACCTTAATTATAGTTATGTTTATTATTTTTCTGGTCCGCGTGGAATTTTTTCTAGTAAACTTTTCTTTAAATATTGACCGTAATGTTCAATTGCAACTTACTATCAAATTGAATTATCTCTTTTTTTGCCAGATAGCTCTTATGAAACATATTTCTGATGTCGCAGTAATTAATTTGATCTAATTTATTAAACATTATTTAGAGATTCAAGTGTTTAAAGTTGCATATTATCGTTTTTTCCGTAAACTAGCTGCGGTAGAACGATCAGTACAAAAAAAGGTAAATAGTATTTGCAAATATTCTACATTAACTTACAATGAGAAGAATAAATCTACTGTTTACTTCTATTGGAAAAAGTCTAAATCTTTTCTAAGGGGGTAAACGAGGCGCTCAAAAATTAGGATATTTTGCAAAAAATGTGAAATGCCTCTTAAAATATTTCCAGATTATGGTATTTAGATATGATTTAAGCCGTGTGTGCCCGTGTGTTAGGTTCCAGGGCTGCACAGGGTAGGGGATTGGGTCGGCAATGGCGCGAGTGATAATTTTTGTATCACAAGCGTCTGTAGGATGTGGTGACAGCTTACAAACAGGCTTGCCATAAGGTTGTTTGCCACCTTTATAACTTGAAAAAATTGAAGTCGCAATTCTCTTAACCCAATGGTTGACTGGTAAAGGCTTAAGTTTGCTTTAGGCATTAAGTTTGCTATATCAGAAAAAAAGATTAATTATATTAATATTGTCGTATAGGGTTTAGCGCTGGACAAAGACTTCGTGAAGATGTTGAAGAACCAGCTATTTCTGCCAAAAAAAATTGTGGGTGCGCTGAAATGGATATTGGTCACAATAGGAATTTTCGGTACTGCTGGGAGCTTGATCATGCACTTCAAAGGTACCATTACTATCTTTATTTTTACTGGCAACATTTAAAATCATATCTGATAAGTAGAAGGCAAAGAAGTAACCAACTTCTTCTCGACTAGTGAGGGGAGTCCAGTTGTGTAAATTTCACGCAAAATGGAATATTCCATGCTAAAGAAAATAGGTGTAACTTCGGCGCCTTCCTTGTAGGACTGGTGGGGCTCGTTTCGTTTTCTTTTCTGTACTCAAACTGTATAGATTCTTTACCGAAAACTACTTCTTGACCGGAGTCGTAAATATAGACACGTACAGAGACAAAGCTTCTATAGAGCGGGCAGAGTTTTTCCTCTTTTGGGCGTTTTTCGACTTGCCGGCACGACACCAGCGCCGACGGGGAAGCTAAAATGTATGATACTTAGGTATGATATATTATGATGGCGTGCTATTACTGTGACGGCTAATGGAAAACGAAAACATTTCATGTTACCCTACGATATCATTTTTAACAAGTTTATAGGAAGTAGAAAAGTAAATAAATTATAAAATTTGACAAAAAAAATTTAGATATCAAGCTTAGATTAAAACAAAAAGAGAAGATATGGCACTCGCGACTCAAGAGTGATCCTCTTAAATTGTGGTGCACGATCACAATTCGCTGTAGTCACAATTGGACAGTCAAACACGCTGCATGTACACTCAATATAACAATATTGCGTATATTCTGTGTTATAAAGATAAAACAATGCCTTCGATGCTTTTATAAAGAACATAAATAGTTCAAAATTAAATAACAAATGCCTCGGCAACACTTCTCATTCGTAAAAATTTTTTTTATTTCTCAAAAGTCACGGTTTGTCTTGAATGTTATTAACGTAATCGCCATTTTGTTATCAAGAAAAGGACAACAATACAGCTTATCCGTTTGCACTCGGAAGCTGATTTGCCGTTTCGCTCGCTCTGCGTTGAGGCGTACAGTTCTGTCTCGCTCGCTCGATTGAATGTTATTTACAGACGTGTGCGTGTGTGAAAGTTGCTTATGTAGTTGAGTCGGAACATATTTTATTTTATGCTAGTATGAGCGTACCGTTTCTTTACCTTTCCCTTTTTATTTTAATCTAAGATATCAAGTCTAGTCTAGTCCGAATTACATATGAGCCTACTGAAGTCTCCTCTCAGGATAGAGGAAACCTTCGAGTTCGGCAGGGTGTGGACATCAGACACCGCATTTTCCTTTCCAGTAGGTGCCAATTATCCGAATCAGACAATGGTATCACACCTTCAACAGTATCACGACAGGGCCTTTTGCTCACTGAGGGCCCGGGCTCAGGTCTGCTTAGGTCGTCGGCAATAACAGCGTCATCATCATCAGACTCACCAAGGCTATTGTCTAAACTGTCACCATCGACGCAAATGATGAAATCTGTAACCTAATCCACGATAAGGTCACTCTTGGCATATTGCTCTTCTATATATCCTTTACCTTTTGGCATAACTTCCCCCAATCCCAAACACCCAAAAGCAACAGCAAAACTTTTTCTTGGATCAGCTCTATATATTTAGCACCACTCCACTTCATATTTTACTGCCTACATATTGCTTCATGTCAGACCATGGCATTTCGATCCGATTTAGATCTGGGTGGTATGGTGGCAGTCCTAGCACTTGATGCCCTTGCTCTGCTAGTATCCTGCCAATTGAAAATGTTTGAAATCTATCTTTGTTAGCCCGTATTAAATTGAAGTTTTAATAGAGTTACTTCATATTCTATCCACTTTTCAGTAAGCCAAGCCTGCATATTAGCTTTTTATTAATTAGAAGTTGGTGCGATGTCCCATTGCTTATTATGCTATGATACGCTGTCGACTACGACGACAGAATTAAACGGTAAGTTCGGCATTAACTGTGTCCTCAGCCATTTTTCATAATTCATATAATGTTTATTGTCTTGGTATTGTGGTCGCCTGATTTCGCATTAGTTTTAAAAGTTAGCAGTGCGTTCGATATGAACCCAGCCTCTGATCCTGCGTGGACATTGACCACCTGCTGTTGGACCTGGAGATGGGTTTTTTGAGACCTTTCGTAGTACCATCCATTTCGTAGGTCCAGGTTTTTGGGGAATAGTGCGATGATTCTACGTATGATTCATCGGAATATACGATTGGCCTTTCCTCGTGGCGATATTGTTTTATTTTGCGTAAGTATCTGATACGTTGCAAACGTATATTTGAAAATTAAATCAGTACTTTTTCGGTTGTTTTTCGTATTTTTCCACCGAAATCCTAAACCCTTAATCATTCATCGTAGACTTCGTTCTGAGCCTTTGAAATGTATATCTTCCTCTAGCTTCTTCTTCAGCTTTCCTACGGCGGGAAGTTCATCATATGTCCTATGAAAGTTATGTATGCACATTTTTATTACTCCTTGATCGAAGTTATTAATATCTCTGACCGGTTCTGATCTGGAGTGTTTTTTGTCTGGTGTTCTAAATACTGATATTCAATCGGAAGTATTGGCTTCAACGGAAATTAAATCTTGTAGAATTTTGTTGAATAGTGCTACACTTTGACCTAAATATAAACCCGTCTATTTTTAAAGCCTGCAACATGGAACGTCAAGTTTGTCCTTGTTTTTGTATTAAAACCATGAACGGTACTTCTTTTTGCAAAAGTGTCATATTATTTCTAAGGAATATGATATTTTCGATGATGAGATGCGAGCGTTAAGATATTAATTTCTTTAAATATTTCTCTGAGCAATTTTCGTGGACCTAAATTGTATAAAGCGCGGATAGCTCTCTTTTGTAAAATATTTTCGATATTAGCAGCTAATCCCTACAACAAAAGGCTGTGTTTTATTATACTATGAAAGTAGCTAAAGTAAACCAATCTTGCCGTTTCTACATCAGTCAGAAATAAGATTTTCTTAACCGCAAAAGCTGCCGAACGTAATCTACTTGATAAGACATCAATATGAGGATCCCATTGCACGGGAAGCTAAAGTGATGCCCAGAAACTTTGTAGAATCTATTAAAACAACTGGCACGTTACTTACATTTATATTGATACTGACACTTCTCAAATTAAGAAGGATGAATTTCACACATATGGTTTTATATGAGTTTAATTATAAAAAACTGAAAGCTGATGTTACAAAGAAAAAACAACAAAAGCAAGCAACGCAACAAGGCAGATCCCGTTTTCATATAATGCATATTCAGACAAAAGCTTACAATAACGTACATCTCACGTAACCACGGTACGACACGTGAATTAACTAACTTTATAGAATCAGCAACAAAGGCGAGTTAACTAGTGTCTGTTGCAACAATAAGTATTTACTAGCTATTTAAACTTTCAAACAAGTTTATGATTAGGTAGATACTGCATTGACTACTCTACTATTCACAACAAACGAATTGACTTTTAATGTGTTTTATAAATACTTGACAAGGACTTTTTTTGAAAGTGAAGATCTTAAAATATAAAAGTGGACATATTTTTAAGAAATTATTAAAGATAGGTACCTAGGTGAATCAACTATATTTCATTTTAAAGAGATAATTACTCACTTAGATAATTGTAGTATACGAAGAAATATTTTTAATTTTAAAGATATCTTTTAACTAGAAAAAGTTTTGATTTTATGTCAGGCTTATGCAAAATGGATACCAAAGGCAAGATAATTTGTTTTCGAGTTTAGGGTTTTCTTGAGATAAAAATCTTTTTGGTTGTTGATGTTAATTCCATTTCTCGTCTACTCTGCAAGAGTTGTGGGATAGGTTTTTTTTTAATTTTTGGGAGTTTTCTAAAACAAGTTTTTCAAGTTAAATTATTTGTTTGTGAATAACTGAGCTTTAAAGTGCTAATTTTTGTTAGAGTAAAGTGCATAATGTTTGTGATGAACAAAAATGAAACCCTACGTGTAGCCTGTAACGCACCGTAAAATCAATCAAATGATTAATTGCATTTGCATGAAAACATTATCATCAGCCTATTGATGTCCCCACTGCTGGGACACAGGCCTTTCCTATAGATGAAATTGGGAGATTGGGCCAGGAACCACGACGTGAGCCCAGTGCGGATTGGTCGGTGCTAACGACTGCATTTGCAGCTGGGACGAACGGCGTAACGTAACTTAAAATGACTGACCACTGCGAAAGTTGCTTAACTTCAACGATCGCAGCCAAACGCACTAACCACTTGCACCATCGAGCTCCTCCTTGCTTGTTTGTCTGCACAACATAACATAAAAACGGACATGTCATGTATAGAAGTGAAACCTACAAACACCGGCCAAGTGCAAGTTGGACTCGCGCACGGGTCATGGTACACGACTTTTCTTAGTTGACCGGCGATTGCGCAAATAAGTACATAATATGTCAACAATAGGTACATAAGTTATGAAATGATGGGTAGCACGATTAAACAACGATTAATTGCGATGAAGACACATCCTTAATTATATTTTGTGAACTAATTCATTCCTGGAATCATTGCTGTATCTGAAAACACTATCACAAACAACAGTTCATTATAAAAAGTGTTTATCGTAATATCTTTATGAATACTTAACCGAATTACGATTTACTGGTATCATTGTATTTGGAAAATTATTCTCATTTCATTTCTTTAGTAGTTTAGTAAATATTGAAATTACATTTTCAATGAAGAAAACAAACGTCAAGTGACGTATGTGCTTCCACGCAAGTGAGACATTTATCGATTCTATTGGCATTGAATTAGCAATCGCACAGTGATTGCTCACTGATTGCTAAACTTAAAATTATCAATATTGGATGTTTTTGGTAAACAAAGAAAGCACTCTTTTTTGGTAAATAAATTACAATTTGTAACAGTACATTTCAAGAAGTCCGTTTTCGGATTTAAATGATCGATCGATAAATCGATGTTTCCTTGATATTTTACCGCTGCACTACTGATCTACTGCACTTGTCCTGTAACAGTTGTCCAGATACAGTCTGACTAGGAGGCTGCGTCGTTTGTCGCCAAACCAATCCTAAGTCATCTAGAAGGTTCGCGTGGCACTATGCTTGGTCGGCCGATTCCCGAACCAGGGGGGTGAAGATGGCACTCTGTCATGCCCCTTAGTGTTTTTTGTATTTTTTCCGTGGTCTTCTGCCCTTAATATAAGTTAATAGTGCAATCCAGTCTCGCGGTCACCCGCACCCTTCGACTCTTCGTGTCTTCGTGGCTTCATCGGTGTGCTCAAATGCCCGTGAGCTCCATCCACCTGCACGCTTCCTGCTGAGGCCTACGGCGTCAATCCGTAGACCCCGATCATCAGGATGCAGCATGCTGTGATGTCAACGGTTGACGTCCTAAGTAATCGCAACCAGCGTCGCTTCGTTCATTATGGGAACTACAACAGTGATGCTTATCGAAGCATGAGCTCATGTATATTATATCTTTTTTTTAGACCGCGACTACCTACGCGTACTTTGTTCGTCGTCACCACTACCTACTACATACTACTACATCTACATCCACGACTGTGGATGGATCTTCACGTGTCCGAACATTAAAGGCTTTTTGATCTATAAGATTGTATCTATGTAATACCATTAGTAATATCTTAACTGCGGGTCACCGTCATGTAACGCGAAAGAATTATAAAATATAGATTGCATGTATTCAAAATCACTATCTTTTATTTGTTTTCCCTAACCACGGCCTTTGTACTCCAAAACTTCAATGTTGCAACCGAGGGTCTATCTCGGTACCCTTCCAGCTGGGTATAAGCTGTAACACCTTCTGCTCATATCTAAGAACATGCCATGAGAGGTCAGTAACCGGAAATCATAGTGACGTATATATATATATATTTTCTTTTAAATACGACAGTACCGTTATCTGTACAACATTTGAAAGAAAGAAAAATATTTTAACTAACCCCCATTACTTATACACAATAAATCGTAACAAAGTAGGAATATAAAATAGCAATGATGTTTGTAGCAATGATGATAATTGTTGGCTTTTTCGGTTATCACTAGAATATTCTACATTTGTTTCCGGAGTACTTTAAAAAAAACGTTTTAAAAATAAGTAATGTTTTCTTTATGCGAAAGGTCTAGTATATGATACTAAATTATGAGAGTCCATACAAAGTTCAGTTAATTTTCAGGTCTCCTGTACCCCTAGCACGAACCAATATCGAATTCGTATCGTTTGCGAATCCGAAATGTCATTGTCAAATGTGTACTGATTTTTAGTTCTTGTTGCGTACTTTGTTCCGCTGCTGTTCAAGTTACCATAGAAAATTTGACATTGACATTTTGGTTTGCAAACTATTCGAATTCGATAGTGGTTCGTGCTAGGGGTACTGATATCTCTTGGTATTAAACCAGTAGTCCAGTACAATTAAATAAGAGGGCGGTCAAATGGCGATAGAGCAAAGTTGCTAAAAATTTAATAAAATGAATAATATCAATATAATAGCAATAAAATAATAATACTTAAATACAAATTGGTGCACATATATAAAATACTCATATTACATGGTATACATAAACATACACATATAAATATAATGATCATAATCAAAATCATTTATTCAGTTTAGGCTGTTACAAGCACTTATGAATGTCTAGAAGCTACGCCATCGGTTCGTAAATCTACGGCGGGAGACCTTGTTCTGAGAAGAACCGGCAAGAAACTCAGCAAGGGCTGTTTTTTTCCCCTGTTTTATTATTTACAGAGTCGTCAAATTGAAAAATGACTTCAGAGGTGACTCATAAAGTCACTTTTCATTACATAATTATTAAATATACATTAATTGTTTACCTGCAGTTTGATTGCTGTGTCATACAGTATAAATACAAATAGTGTTATTTATATTCAGTGTGACTAAACATTAACTTCAATATTAAGGAAGTTAGGGCAGACTCATCTCCGCTGGCAGCACCCGTTCACGAGCATGACGCATGAACCAGCCATCGCTTCGCTCAACCATATTTTAGGGAACGTAACGACCCGCCTCACACGACACCGCCGAAGAGACTATTATGAGAGCATGACTACCCATAACTACCCATACTAACTACAACATATTTATTTAAATTAAGGTCATTTACCTGTAGGACACCATAAACAATTACAAAAACAAAGCAAAGGAGAAATCACGACCACGCCGTTATGTCAATCAAATATCTGATAATCTTCCTTAAGTTATCAACTTTATATACACATAATTCATAATTTAAATCATATAGAAATACCCGTTGGAATGGTTGGAACAGTTCATACCCAAGCATTTTTGTCTGTAATATAATCAGACACTTTAGAAGTGTATATATATATATATGTATATATATATATATATGTATATATATATATATACATATGCATAACATACATAAAATACAATAAATATAATATATATCGATGCAAACTAAAAACTGAAAAATCACGTAGTCAGGTAGTGTTTACGCACAAGTTTTTTGAACTCAAACTTATTGTCAGTACTACGTATGCTTAGTGGTAGAGCATTCCACAGGCGTATGGCAGTAATAGTGAACGATTTGGATCCAAAGCCAGAATGATTAACGGGAATTAGTAGTGTAAGATTTCTGCACTAACGAAGATCACCTTGATTGGAAGTGCCCAGAAACTGAAATCTAGATTTCAGGTACTCTGGGGCACATGGATCGTATAAAAGCTTGAAGAGCATGCAAAGTAATCTAAGGTTTCTTCGGCCATTGAGCAAACGATCCAATTTTCAGATTTCTATTGAGAATATTCCATATAAAATCAAAATGCGCTAGAAATATCATCGTCATCCAGTATAAGGCTGATATTATTATTATTATTTATGCTTTATTTATTATTTATTATTATATTATATTTTTAAGGTTTTTAGTTGTAAGTTCATTGTTCCTGTATATATTATTACTGTAAATAAAAATATTCAATTTTATTAGGCTGCTATTTCAACATTAGCAACTTACGAAACCAGTATGACAAATAATATTGCTAATAAAATACTAGATGGCGCAAACCTCAGATTACAGAACCTTTAGTTCTGTAATCTTGTCCAAAAAATTCGAGTTCAGGATCGAATCACCCATCTTTTGAGATCGAACCTAAGATCGACTTCATTCGGCTATCCGTCTCTTGCGATCTGTTACAAAATTACGGATGCGTACCCACCTACCTTGTGTCAAATACTCTACTTCCGTTTCAACGAATTTTAAGTCACAACGATACAATAGAAGTTTACACTTTAAAAAATAACATTATTTTGTTGACAGATGACATAATGGGCATGGTTGGATCATCGCCTGGATCGTCAGCAAAAACCAAAGTGAATCCAGAGACCAACCAACAAAAAGGCATCAGTGTTATCGGGGGTACACAAAATCTCCCCAAACTAGACATGTAATATCCGCAGCTCCTTAACTTCTACCTAAAGATGAAAGGCAATCATCAATGCTGGGTGGAATCCATATATCTGTAGTGCTATTCTGTACAAACAAACTCACATTTTACCACGGAATTCGCCGATGTGATTTGATTTTTTTGAGATTCGTGTTCTAATTTAAAATCACACCGCGGATTCCGAAGTAAAAAGTGAGTTTTTGAAGTGAAAACTTCTTTAGCGGCGTTGTACACTTTTTTGTATGGCTAAAAAATGTTAAACTCGTGTCATGACACGTGGGCTAATCGCATCACAGGCCACGTGTCCTGATCGTAAGACGAAAACAATAAAATTGGAAAGGTTGTTGACTTTCAATATATTGGACGAAACATAGTAATATTTTATTTTATCGTATTGTAATAATAAGTCGGTATCTAGGACGTCCAGGTGGCAGCTCTATTGCGAAAAAAAATGCATTTTTTTACAATAGACATCGCTAGGTGCGCTTAAATGAGAAATTCTGAGAGATAAACTTTTTAATGTAATATAAATTGTCATGTTTGTGTACAATAGTGCAATAAATAAATATTGTATTCTACCACATAAATGATAGTACTTTTATACTGAAAATTAAAGAAATTGGTGCAAAATTATTCCCTAACCATTCCAAATTATCAAAAATGCACAACGTTTATATTCAAGTTTTCACTTCTGCCGGCACTCCCGGAGTGCAACCCGTCGTTATTTTTCTTGCAAAATAGCACTGCTGGGTTACTACAGGCTTTCACAAGAGTCGCACGGCTTCGAAAGGAACGCACTGTAGATTTTTCATTACCAATAAATGTTATAGTCATACGGCGAAGCTCAGAATCAAACCACAGTACTCTTACACTTAAAATATATAATATACCTATGTATAACTACGAGAATAATGTGCTAAAGTTTTTAAAAAAAGTTATTCAACTCCACAATAAATTATTACCAACTGAATTAGTTTTCTTACTATGTATGGAGATCCTAAAAAAGTACCTGCTTAAATAAGTATGGATATGCATTTTTTGGTAAAAATACTCGAAATAAAAACAAGTGCAATTAGCTTGTCTTCGTCCAACCTCAGTTGCTGCTCATCAACATCTTTTTCGGGTATATTACCAAGTTCAAGTTCTGTAAAAAGGGATGCAGTGCTAAATATGGTTGCAAAAAAAGTTGAACTGTTATGTTGAATCACCAATAGTAGAGAATTCATTTGATACCAACGAAGAGATATGCGATACATCGCTACTCATGCAATTCACTTACAGCCAGGCTGAAGAAGAATCTGAAGAAGAAGTTCAAGAAAAAGACCAACAAGAAGAAATAATATTAGATTATGAATCGGACGAATAATTTTTTCTACTGCTTTTTAATTTCTGTCGCTTATATCAATTCCTTTTCAACCCTTGCTAATCCGTTATTTTGCAATAGTTTCTAATTAAACAGAATCACAAAAGACATGTGGAATAGGCCTACTTGGGAAACCACGTTAGAAGAAAATGCGGTAAGTACTACCGCAGATGTGGCGTAGAAACGTGTGCATATTATGACGCTTACAACTTTTGAATCATTATATCTCAGGAACGGGGGCTCTTAGGAAAAAAAATATTAATACCTTTTTCATAGATAATTTTATAATCTACAGTTTTTGTACTAAGTAATTTGACGACAAACTTACCGTTTAAATGAAAATCGCGGAAAACCCTCTTTTGACCTTTGACCTCGAGTAAATTTTTTCCCAAGTACCTACCGGAATGATGGGGAATTTTGAAATGTTATTTTTAATTACGTTTTGAATAATTTTACTCGCTCTCTGGCTTGGTATAAATTTATATACCTTTCTTTGCATTCTTGTATGTATTTTCTATAAAAAAATGTGTTTATTATTTCGTGTCCCATCCCTACTCTGTATAAACCATCAGATGTGTTATAATGCATGATACCGAAAACATTTCGCGCATGTAGGATTGACTAGGCAAAATCCGATACAGGTTATTTTACTTTCAACGTTTGATTTAACATAACAGTAAGGTATTTCTAGATTTGATTAAAAATACATTAGACAAAGGTCGAAATAGGAAATTAATTACGGGGTTTGCCGGAAAGCCTTGGTCAAACCTAGGATAAAAAAATCATTTCGGGAATAGACTGCATATCGACTTTTGACTATAACATATACTACATAACAATTTCAATACTTTATCAGCTAACATCCTGTTCTTGAATTAATAAAACGCTACATATTAGTACTTAATATATCTCTAATAATGAAAGTAATGTTACTAGCTTTTAAGTTTAATGTATTAAAAGTCTGAAACATTAAAAGTGTCCTTTTATTTTTTCATGATTAAAATATAATTTCATTAATAACAATATAATAATATAATAGAAGAGTCTACCAAAATGCAAGTTTTTTAGGTGGAATTTTGTTTCAAAACCGAAGAAGATTTGGGAAATTGCGTTGTCTTGTAACACTTTCGACAAGTTCAAGATTGTGCGAAGAGGCTAACATCCTCTCATTGTAAGTGGATAATTAAATTTTCCTTTCGCCGAGACAACAAGAAAACAACTTAAGTACCTACTAAGAAAATTAATCGCAAGTAGGATAAAAAAATCATTTCGGGAATAGACTGCATATCGACTTTTGACTATAACATATACTACATAACAATTTCAATACTTTATCAGCTAACATCCTGTTCTTGAATTAATAAAACGCTACATATTAGTACTTAATATATCTCTAATAATGAAAGTAATGTTACTAGCTTTTAAGTTTAATGTATTAAAAGTCTGAAACATTAAAAGTGTCCTTTTATTTTTTCATGATTAAAATATAATTTCATTAATAACAATATAATAATATAATAGAAGAGTCTACCAAAATGCAAGTTTTTTAGGTGGAATTTTGTTTCAAAACCGAAGAAGATTTGGGAAATTGCGTTGTCTTGTAACACTTTCGACAAGTTCAAGATTGTGCGAAGAGGCTAACATCCTCTCATTGTAAGTGGATAATTAAATTTTCCTTTCGCCGAGACAACAAGAAAACAACTTAAGTACCTACTAAGAAAATTAATCGCAAGTAGGAAAACGATTTCGAATCTGAGATGCTTTACTTTCAATTTACTTTTGATTCCATACTAGTCATCAATCATCATCAACAGCCTACCCTATGTCCAGCAGTGGACCCTGTAATGTCCACTGCTGGACATAGGCCTCTCCAATTGCACGCCACTCAGATCGATCTTGGGCTACTCGCTACCACCATACTAGTTAGTATCTAAAGAAAATATTACTAGCAATCCACGAAAATTCCACGCAGACCAGGCAGCAGACGCTCCCCGAATTTTTTCTAGATATATTTACTTTAGATTTAAACATCGAGCGGTTACATGCTTTAAAAGTAAAAATTATATCGATACTCATACTTAAAACATTGATAATTTAAATACTTAAGCTTTGCATCGAGTATTGGATTCAATCATGCCATGCACCCTTAAATTTAGAAAATGATGACAATGGTGACAAGGAAGAAACTAAATTAGGAGTCACTGATTCGATGACTGATGAGCTGGGGTCTATGCAGCTTAGCGTCTAGATCTCAAAGGGAAAACTAAATGATAAAAATACTGAACAACACGCATACAGTGCGACAAGGATCTATATATGAATGTAGCGAAAATTGGAACTAATGCCGCCATCCTTGTAAACGTCATATTTTTATGTCATTTACGGTAATTTACGTAGACAGTGGGACCAGGCAGCAGACGGGACTCGAACCCGCACACTTCGCTATCCGGGCGAATGGACTGACCAATTATGCTACCGCGGCGCTGATGGTCGCACCTGGTGGTATGCTTAAATACCTTATGTATGGTATGTGATTTTTCTTCGTATTCGAGTTACATATATATTTTTTTTGTGTATTTTTAATGATTTCTGCCAGCGAGGTTTAAAAAATTCATATCTATTTTCGTAGCAGGTATTTTTCAGTTTTTTTTTTTTGTGACATAAATGTCTTTAATTTTAATAAAAAAAATAACTCAGATTCATGAAATTACTTAAAGTTACTCAAAAAAGGCCTGAAAGTTGGAACTTTAGTTTTTAGTAGGATTTACTCAAACAGTCTTTAAAAATACAAAAAGGAGTTTCCATAGCTTCTGGCTAAAATTAAAAACTATGCATGCTTCTAAACTACCAACAATCGTAAAAAAATAGTACTTATTCAGCCTATTTTTGTTGTATTTGGCCTTCGAAGGCGGATAGGTTAAAAATCATTGAAACATGATTAAAGCATTAAAAATTATTTTATCTACTTTTTATCATTGTTATGGTAAATTAAACTTAAAAATGTAATTGCAAATTAAATTTAATTGAAATTCCTGTGAAATAACTTTATCATGTGTAATTTTACAATAGTTTCGGTTTCACCACTAAGATTTGTTGAAGTTGAATGTTTGAGTAAATCCTACTAAAAACTAAACTTCCAACTTTCAAGCCTTTTTTGAGTAACTTTAAGTAATTTCAGGAAGCTGAGTTATTTTTTTTATTAAAACAACATTCAAGACAATTATGTCACAAAAAAAAAGACTGAAAAATACCTACTACGAAAAAAGATATGAATTTTTGAAACCTCGCTAGCAGAAATCATTAAAAATACACAAAAAAAATATAACTCGTAAACTAAAAAAATCGCGGAACATACATGGGGTATTTTCGGATACCCCAAGGTGCGAGGAATCTAAAAAAATTGTTGACGTCACTAATTGGACCATCCTGTATATATGTGTGTGTGTGTGTACTATATACTGGGTTAATTTTAAACCCCCAACAACCTCTTAGGGGGTGATTCTACCCATCAACAGGACCAACTTTTATTGTGAGACCAACGCTGAAATCGCGATAAAAAAATCTGCTGTTTCATACAAAAGTGCATCAGCTAATTGACCGAAATGTTTTTTTTATTGCGATTTCAGAGTTGGTCCCATAAAGTTGTTTAAAAATTAACCCTGTACATAGTACACACACACATATATATATACAGGGTGGTCCAATTAGTGACGTCAACATTTTTTTTAGATTCCTCGCACCTGGGGGTTTCCGAAAATACCATTCCAATACCAAATTGTTCATTAATCCTAAAAACTTTTCACAAAACCAAAAAAACATTTACTTTAGATTTCGTATTGTCTTTGGTGGCACGCATTGCGTATACCGTGCGCTCCATCTGCCTTTGGTTCTGTAATCTGAGGAGTCGACTTTATGACTAGTATTTGAATGTTTTCTTTGCTTTTGTTCTTGTTCTGAGGTAAATACGTTGCTTACAGAGTTGCCAACTGCGATATAATACAATACGTCTGTTCACTTTGTTTAATCATTAAGTAACTAGCTGGACCCTTATCACAAAGCAGTGCTCTTTGTAATGTGGATTTAGCCCAATGAATAAACACGTAAGCTTTGCGTCAGGTGTATTCCCGCGCGTTATTAAATACTATAATTTATTTATGAAATCGCGGGCCATAATGGGAGTAAAACGATGTAAGTTTTAACCGGCTCAAGTAACTTTATAAGCAAAACTAAGTATTTTTGAATTTAGATCTGGAAGCTTGGCTTTTCATTCTCTCTGTTTTTTATAGACCCGGAACCCTGTAGCTAAGCCTCCTTTTTCCGTCCGTCTATCAGTTGATCGGTCGGTGTCATGAACGTCTTAATAATAGGCTAGTTGACCCTTTTTGGAAAAAGGTTTTAAATGGTTAATAAATGTTCTATTAGACCGAAAATGTATTGTATTTTTTTGAGACCTAGAAAGCTCCAAATCTTTAATTTTAAAATAGACTTTTCAGGAACATACAAAAATGCTGTCGGCCATTTTAGTCTATAGATTATCTATGCTATGACATCAACTGTATTAAACAAAAACTCGTAAACACGTAGAAAATAACTTATCTGAGTTTATAATAAAAAAAACATGATTTCTAATA